CTGTTCTAAATTACATGCAGAAAATCCAGCCTTACTATGCGAATCTAGTAATTTTCGTACAGTCTTCAAACCCGTTGAACGTTGAATGTCCTTGGTACTAGTGAATCGGCCATTTTGGACTCCTGTTTGTCTTCGTTTGTTCGTTTGCAGTTTTTTGCTCCAGGAACCTACAAAATTGCAGAACGACATTGGTCGTCTATTTGTAATAAACGAACGACATTTTGGTCGATTATTGTGAATTAAGAGTAAACTTCGGTACCTACTTTGGAATTCGGTTTTGCTATTGATTTTGGTTCGTGAATTGTAAATAGATGGACACACCGTACTTCTAAGGAGGAAGGAACAAAAACGTGGACGTAACAAACCCAACGAGTGGCAGTTACGGAACTACCTCAGTCAATTGCAAAATTTGATCCCTCTAATCAGGTGTTTTGCACCATTTGTGTCGATGCAATACTAGAATTTTTCTTTCTTCCCGCTTTGAAATGTTTGTTAATATATTTAGTCACTCCGCCTCCTGTCTGGTGTACGCTGGAAGAGATTCGTGCTTCGCAAGGTCACTTCGCCATCTGCAATGTCGAGGGATAGGCATGTTTCAGTTAGGATTATGATCTTCAGATCCATTGGACAACGCACATTACTGATCTCTGACATCTTATTTCTTAGTCCGCTTGATCTGTTATGGGGGTACGTGGTGGGTTATCTCATCTCCTGGTTCATCCCTGGAACAAGAGCCGTAGTTGGACTTGCAGACTACTGAGTTGGTCTGTTCTTTGTAAACTGACCTCTACAGATTTTCGATTGTGTTGTGTGTTCAATAGGCGAGACCATGATCTTCATGTCCTGTGCCGCAGGTTGTAGGTCAAAAATAATATTTCTGTTCTAAATTACATGCAGAAAATCCAGCCTTACTATGCGAATCTAGTAATTTTCGTACAGTCTTCAAACCCGTTGAACGTTGAATGTCCTTGGTACTAGTGAATCGGCCATTTTGGACTCCTGTTTGTCTTCGTTTGTTCGTTTGCAGTTTTTTGCTCCAGGAACCTACAAAATTGCAGAACGACATTGGTCGTCTATTTGTAATAAACGAACGACATTTTGGTCGATTATTGTGAATTAAGAGTAAACTTCGGTACCTACTTTGGAATTCGGTTTTGCTATTGATTTTGGTTCGTGAATTGTAAATAGATGGACACACCGTACTTCTAAGGAGGAAGGAACAAAAACGTGGACGTAACAAACCCAACGAGTGGCAGTTACGGAACTACCTCAGTCAATTGCAAAATTTGATCCCTCTAATCAGGTGTTTTGCACCATTTGTGTCGATGCAATACTAGAATTTTTCTTTCTTCCCGCTTTGAAATGTTTGTTAATATATTTAGTCACTCCGCCTCCTGTCTGGTGTACGCTGGAAGAGATTCGTGCTTCGCAAGGTCACTTCGCCATCTGCAATGTCGAGGGATAGGCATGTTTCAGTTAGGATTATGATCTTCAGATCCATTGGACAACGCACATTACTGATCTCTGACATCTTATTTCTTAGTCCGCTTGATCTGTTATGGGGGTACGTGGTGGGTTATCTCATCTCCTGGTTCATCCCTGGAACAAGAGCCGTAGTTGGACTTGCAGACTACTGAGTTGGTCTGTTCTTTGTAAACTGACCTCTACAGATTTTCGATTGTGTTGTGTGTTCAATAGGCGAGACCATGATCTTCATGTCCTGTGCCGCAGGTTGTAGGTCAAAAATAATATTTCTGTTCTAAATTACATGCAGAAAATCCAGCCTTACTATGCGAATCTAGTAATTTTCGTACAGTCTTCAAACCCGTTGAACGTTGAATGTCCTTGATACTAGTGAATCGCTAACACTTTAGTAACTTTCGTGATCCAGCTTTTAATTCACTCTCAACTCAACCATTAAAAAACGCTTAGGCTTTCAGAGATTTGATTTATTCAATAACTCCGGGACGATTTGTGAAGGAAACTGTCTATTAACCTAATTATTTTGTTAGAGAAGAGTAAACTCTCCCAGGGACACATATGATGAGCCAATAACTTCGGAAGTCCATGTAGGCGAAGTTTCTATAAAGCCTATGAGTACAAATTTATCTTCATTCTCACGTACAAGGACTGACACCACGATTTATTGGAAACCAACAGCAAATTCAAAAGAGGAATAATCAGTATATGTCGGGACGTTGTGAGCTGACTATTTGTCGGAATCCAATACAAACTTCGTAGTACCACCATGAATGCTTCAAAATGTTGGTGTTTCTAGATTACAAACATTGCTCAAATAATTTTAGATGTACTTACTGACGAAAAAGGCTGATAGTCACGTGAATATTTAGCACAAATACTTTACCACCACGCTAAGAAAGTCTGATAGTCTATAGACAACCTTTTATAATTCGGTGAAAGACATGATATGAAGTAATACTTACGGAACGGATTATCCATAGTTACCTTGTAAGAAATGGGCCATTTAGCTACAAGCTTGTTAATTAATCGATACGCCCTTCAAATTTGGCTTTAAGATTCAATGACTTGACCGAATAATAGTTCAGGATTCATAAGAGGCCAATAAAAATGCATCATTTTAGATCAAATGCACACAATGTCATCTTTATGCTTAGGTTTTCTGTTATTTGGGTGGGTCGTCACTCAGATTACGAGGGAGCAAACGACTCAATCACCATTATTTGGTCTGAACGTAGAGTTAACAATTTAAGTTACATTCCGTTATTTCAACCTGTGTTCTTCTGTATAGCGAGGGAAGCGCTATTGAGTAATCAGTACTAAATAATATAAAATCACAAACTCCGTTCCCCTATTATATGGTTCTAATTCAGGAAGGAAAACAATTTAAATAGAAATTATGAAATACTTCAAATGGTGCAGCCTTTACACAAAATAGCGAACTAGACAGCAAAACGAACAACAATAAACAAACATTCGGTACCGGATAATTAACAACAGCTTCCCTAAAAAAATTAGATCAAATATCGTTTGATAAAAGGACTCGAGCACTCGTTTCCAGCAAACAATCAAAGTCCAAGAATTATTCAAGGAACCATGCCGTAACCTGAAGCTTAGTCAAACATGACATTTTAATGGTTCGGCAAAAAGCAACAGTAATTTGATTAATAAGCATCGACTAAAGCTGAATATGAGTGACTGAGAAATACAGAACCTGGTAAAAAGAGTCCTAAGTAGAAGTTAGATACGAAACTTAGTCAAAGAGCAAAGTAATAACAAAACTGTCCAATTAAAGGCTGCTGAAAGACTTTTAGAGTGCGCTTTCCGTTACAGGGAGTATGCACTTTAAAGTACCTCAAAAATGAGTTGGGTGGACTTCTAGATGACGCAAATATTAGCAATTTACGGAAATCTTAGTGAATTCAAAGATGTACCCAGACCACTTGATGCTTAAGGTAGTCTTACAATACATTTGACATATTAACTTGGGTCTACTCTGATTGTGAAACCCTTTAAACCATCTTACTAAGCACAATATCTAACTGAGAATATTGGATGTCCCTATCCAATAACCAAAGTATCTAGTACTACATGGTCTATGCCAGTACTTTGAACCATTTGCTATGTTTCTACTATTGTACTGGCTATTTTACTCAGTGATGGTGCTTCCCCGATATCCCAGAACTACCAAACCTTGGATTCACAAGTTGAATATTATCCCCAGTAATGTTGGAATTTCCAGTTGCTCGAAGTTCCAGAAGTTTCCATCTGATCTCAGGCATTATTCTACTTCAACATCATCAACAGTACTTGACCAGATAAGTTTTGCATGTTCTCATCAGGGAAACGGTAAGTATATCAACTCCAAGAATTAGAATAAGTGGGTTACGTAACTGGAACACTGCGGCCCGCTGACCTATTTCTGTCTTGTCTGGGAAACTACTTAGAGGACACTGAGTTTCGTAAACAGAATGCATGCGAACTAATGAGTCTCAACATCAAGAGTTTCGCAGAGGATCATCTTAGCTCTACTTCTGTTCTTGATATTTATTTTTGACTTGTTGGATAAAATAAGCTCAATGGCACTAATCTATGCAGATCAACTCGGAATTGTCTGTGACTTTCTGGGACCGAGTGTAGAGATGAGAGACCAGAGTGACAAGGTTGAAAAATGTAACCTTGTAAAGACAAACTACAACACTGTGGATTATTCCCTCTCTGTTACGGCAGAATAAGAGGTAATCTGATACAAAATCTCATAAAATACCACCAACGCAAACGCCTACCAGATTATCATGAGCACCCACCGTAAGGTGACCAATGAAAAGTTGCACATCCAAAAGCAATAACCCGGGAGCATTCACTTTTCACACTGGAAATCTCTCAAATCTCGAATGCTCTTCCAGACGAAGTGACTATAGACTGCTCAGGGGATTGCTTCACAGGGACATGATAAACACGTACCGATACATATACCACTTGGATCAGCTATGCCTGATGAATGTCAGGAATTTGTTGGTTGTTATAGCCATCACTTACCCACATCACCTACTTATTCCATCTCGCTTGTCATCGCTTTTGCCTGTTTCACTCTCCTCTTGCACAACCTTCGCTGATAATTAAGAGACTTATTAACTTTCTGTGTTCCGAGTGTTTCCTCTTCTCTTTATCATTAGAATTTCATGGTACTGTTCTGCGCATAGCAACTATGTAATGTGATATTTGCTGATGTCCATAAACCCTACTGTGCTGGAACTGATGGACTCACTGAAATCATGGAACGTACAATTTATTTAACTGAAAACTGACTATAGTTAGTGTATTATATTGACTAGGCTTTCAAATACCTGGAACTAAACCGAAGTAAGAAGTGGCGAGTGAAAAAAATTTTGTGATATTGGATATTGAATTTACCTTGAATTCATCTACACAACATTTCAAGCAGACAATATGTTTACGCAATTCCATGAAAATGACTATTCTGCATGTTGTTGTGAAAAAAGAGACATTTATGACTAACTATGTGTGACAGCGATTCAGGATTATCTATAAGCATGAATGGGAGTCAAAATGATTCACCTACTCAAGGTCTCGTATTTATTAGAGTCACGATGCCAGACGAGACTAGTGAAGTAATACAATCACTTTATTATAACCATCTTAAGACCTTCAGTTTCAGCCCAACGGATTTAATTATGGACGTCAAGCTCACAGTAATAAACAGATCAAGTTCTTGTATAAAGGATGAATTAAATTTCGGTCTTTTTCTTCCACCTTCCAAAGGGAAAGCTGGAAAATTCTTACAAGATGATAGAATGCTATTGGATTATCCATTTGAAAGTTCAGTTGGTCACTTAGAAGTAATTTTGCACTTATGATTTAACACATTTTTAGTTGAAGTATAAACAGCGCGTCTATCGTGTTTTAAAGACCAATGTCAACAAGCTTCGCAAAATCAACACCAAGGTAAGGAATTTGGACGAGGTTTTTCTCGCTCACTTGCGCTCTTGCATAAAATAAGATGATTGACGTTTGTATATTTAGAAAATTGGGATTTATAGTTTTTGGAACTTCACTCTCTTTGTAGGTCATGTAAGTAGTGTTTTATATTCTGGTCTTCATAAGTCGACATATGAAATTTCGGACTGTCAGTTTATCGTTGACGAGGAGTCTACTCTTTGTTTGGCGACGGTCACTGAAACAATATTTTCTCACTTTGACAAGTTGCATGACTATATTTATTTATAAATGGTTACTTTATTGACATTCCCGGTTTCGCGCAACCAACTAACGGAATTAAGTACAAACCTTTATAAATTTATCCTTTGTCAGTGAGGACAAATGAATAGTTTTTCATACAGTATTTAGATTCATAATGTGATGGATGTCTACGATTAGTCGTTAGATATATTGATGGTTTGGTAAAACTTTTTACACATTGTTTATTCCATTATGGTTATGTGAAGAGTCAGAGCATCTAATCGCTTCAAAAAGATAAAGCCACTATCAAAATATTTTCAGAAGTTGGATACACATACTGCACATAGTCCAGTTATGCAGATCCGTGGACAAAATATCTATTCCCTAGATTATGTACTAGGTCCAATCACTAACAGACTTAATCTACTAGGTAATTCTTTTAGCTGCCATGATTAGACAAATAGGTTCACCAGATTTATGATAACAGATAAAATGCCACTAGAAGGTAAGATGATTTTTTCAATGGTTTGAGTGTCATTTAGGAGACATGTGTATTTATGAATAGACTTGTCATGAAATGCAATAATCAGATAACTGTTAAAAAAAGAAAGATCCAAAACTTTGGAGCACCTTCAAAAATATTCTGTGTAGGTTTGAAGAAGCTCAGCGTTTGACAACCACTTCAATACTCTTCACAATTCGGTTAAATTTTAGTTACTCACATGGGACTAAATCACAGTGAATCAGTGAATTCATGCTTTAGGCATGAGGTTTTTAACCAAAGAAATGCAATCAACATTTTGTAATTATGATTGTATTGTTAAAGTCCCGGTTCTTGGATTAAAATTGCTTGGCATGAAACCAAATGGTCCGCTTCCAGTCCATGCAAAGCCGATATTTTATGGTCGGTAACGATGACAGTTTGTGAATTAATTTCAAAAAAGGACTATAGGCAACTGACTGGTTTTTGTGCTTACTTCAATCATTAACAAGCAATATATTTATATGCGCTGCTATGACATTTTTCTCTCTGAAAAATGGTGTGTTCATTAGATTTGGTACTTGTCCATTTTTATGTTGACCGCCCTTTTTGTTCCTTTATTTGTTCTAACGGTGGATAGTTTTCAAATTACTTCAATAAACTTACAACAAAGAGACAAAATAGGGGATGAAGTGCATTTTATCACGGCTTAGACTCAGAAACCTATTTATTCTCTCCATCAAAAAAACTATCACCGAATTGCCCAAGTTGAATGGTTTCAAAGCAGGCTTAGAAGCTTTTATTCACTGTAGATTTGTATTTTATAGTGTTTTTCTGCACACCTACCCATTTTTGTGTGTTATTAACCGTAATGTGCTGCTTTAATTTTGAGTTCAAAAATTGATTCTGCTTGTATCTAGTTTAATAGCCATTTCGGTTGCAAGGAATCTATTATATAGGGTTTTAACCCAATGAACAACTTACAAGCAGCGAACAGTGTAGTATATTAGATTCTAATAATGGTAAATTGGGGTTCAGAACCACTTCATAGACAGCTGGTCAAGCTTTTTCACTTTCTCCAGTTTCGATGATGTATGTCAGCCAGTGTTTAAATTTTATACCGCCTTGGATCAATATCGTTTAACTAATTGATGTTGAGTTCTGTTAGAGTTTTTTATGTATTTGTTGAATGATATATGTTCTGCATGTGATGAAATCATAAGCTGATTTAATTTTGAAAAACGCTTTAGCATATACTTTTGAAAAGTTCGAGATTTTTGTGACATCTTTCGAAAGATGGTAATCTATCCACCTTGTTAACTGCCTTGGAACACTGTAAAAATATCAGTTACTGTTAAAAATTCTTGAAATATTCTACAAGAAATCAACTTTCAATCAGCAACAACTTCCAACCACTTTAATACGTGACTGCCTGTTTATATGTATCCCTAGAATAACTGGTTATAAGTAAACTCATCTGAAGTCCACAGTCGAATTTCTGGGCTGGAATATATATATTTTGAAGATAATGTGAATATGTATCAGAGTGATATACCAAAGATCCATGTAAAATAAGTTGACTGGAAAGTAACTCAAATACGTAATTCACAAAATATATGTTGAAATATTGTATGTGACAAAAGGCCATAAATGTAAAAAAATACATAATGAACTAGGACTATGACCATTTGGAACAAAATAAATAAACTTCAGTTTATCTAAAACCAATTTAAAAACTTTGAGAAAGCCGAAAGAATGGTGCATCAAAGTAGTCGTATTAAAGTAACTATTGAACAATAAGGTAAAATCAATGAAACGTCTAGTTATAAGGACAAAAATGACTAGCTTTTTATTACGACTGTTAACTGATATCTTTGTCTAAATAACAGTAGCAAAACTGATGTCAGTCAAGTGACGGTGTACTGGATTATGATTTTTACAGACTGAGGATTGTTTATAAATTCAACTGGGACCAATTAACAAACAAATTGAAGGATAAGAGTAATTGAAAAATTGATATTTGGAGACTTTTTAATGAATAAACTAATAAATGGTTGAACTAGAATTCACAGTAATGACGTAAAAGAATAAAGTATAGTGAAAATTTATCCATCCATTTTATGTTATTATTTTGTTAGTCATTCGCAATCTTTTTCATAAACAAACAAGATTGACAGTTGTCTACTTTTCGAAATGTGAAGCTTGGTAGCGACTGCTTATCTATGTGATATCTAACGGTGTCACTTATTAGGTGTCCTTATTCTTTTTCAGCCAATAGGTTTCATAGCATTCTCAGCGAATAAAAGCTAGTTTCTTATTTCTATTGTATGTCGCTTAATCAGCAGGTCAAAAACAGTAAAGATAATAGGGGCCTGTCAAATTTGATGGAAATTGTAGGCGTATGTCCTAGACATAATCTAAAACGAAGCTTCAAAGGAGTTTTCGGTTGACGCACTGTTTAGTATTCTGCAGATTGTGTTTGCGGCATTACCACCTTCAAGGTCAGGGTTAATAAAGGTTAAACTTTTACCAAATGTAGTTCATTTGATTTTTGTCCCCAGTTCCTTTGTGTTTGTCAATATACTTTCGTAGATTTCATATATTTCTTAGCTACCTTCAACACTTGCCAATTCTCCTCTGAATTTGATGGTTGTATGTTCTTTCTACTCTGTAAAACAGTGATTTGATCAACGTTTTATTGCAACTGGCTGGGCAGTAACCTCTAAAGTCCAGGTTTCATCCATTTCATAAACTCTTTTGATAAATCGATCGTTGTATTATACCATCTCCTCTCCGTTCCACTCACATATCAGCCAAGGGGAGTTTATCAATACTTTTACGTTCCATAGTAAGTTGGATGTTTCGATGCTCTTTGTTGAAAAGTTCTAACAAATGAGCTGCATGTTGTTGAGTGTAAAAAGCGATAAACGTGTCTTCACCCTACCGAGAACAGTGCAACAATTCATCTTTTATTTGTTTGAGTCCTGATGAGAAAGCATATATCTGAACTTTTCAATGCACCTTAAGTTTGACGATATGGAATGTTATATAGTACAAGTCTTGTGAGTATAAAGTTTTTGCCGTATATTTGTATAATGCAGTAGGCGAATTCCGTATGTTCATGGAATAAATCATAACTACTGTAAGTCATGAAATATTTATTCCAATAAAAACAAAATATTTCCTTCATTCAGTGCCTGATTGTAACAAACAGGATAACCTCCCAGACCTACAGTGGAGACTTTATGCTAGTAGGTAGTGTAAATCAATAAAATGGGTATGATTAAACTATTTTTTGTCAGGCTATCGGCATCACATGTTACATGCAATATAGATAAGTGATTAGAATAATTACAGTTTACTGTGTATATAGTTTGCCTTCAGGATGGTATATGAAATTAATCATCCGCCAGTCGACTAGTAACAAAGACTCTAACCACCTAAACTATGTAAATAGAAACACAACTGCATTCTTTATTTGAATAGTCCAACTTGTGAACAGGCAACCAGGCATTTTATTAAACCTTGACAGTGTTCTGACATTTCTGAAATAAAAAACTCCTTTCTCTTTCGATTTGTAGTTGAACATGAGATTGAGTCACACAGCATACATATTCTGTGAAAGTTTTACAGACAGTACAATCATTTTGTTAAGTTTGCGTGTTTAAAACATTTTGGAAATAAACATTATTTGGTATTTAAAGAGCTTCAAGTTCCAGAAGACTCAAGCTTACATACTGATTTGAAGTCAGTCTTCATTACATACTGACACTAGGAAAAAGTTTATTGAAATCAAGATGTATGAGCTATTGTGATTCATTTTAAGATTGGTGATCATCATTATCTAGCTGATTTCAGTTCACGATAAAAAATGACTGTAATTTGAAAGAACCTCATAAAACATAGTCTAAAAAAGATGCTAATTTGTGAATACATTAAGAACTATATATTATTTAAGAACGTTATTCTTACTATTTGTCCACTGGGTTTAAATAGTTGAGTCGAATTTTTATGAAACTAGCACTGGTTACGTAACTTAATAATGGCAGTTCTTCAAGTCTTTTCATAATCGTTAGGACCTTTCAAGCCATAAAAAAATAGGATTATTGAGTAATTGTTGCAACGAGTAGACAAATTTTGCATATGTACCTAAAAGTAAAGTAAAATGACTAGTTATACTTACAGCATTAAAACACATCTAATTCTTCAAATATAATTTTGAACATTACTAATGTGTACTACTTGAAATTTAACATATTTTAATAACATTCATAGACTATATTTCTCGAAGTTACAAACCAATGTATTTCTATCACAAAAAAAGAATGTTGTCGATATTTCATGGGATCGAATTCATTTTAAACTAGTGTGCTTATTGTAACTTCATGATCATGTGTTTTTTATAGCTTGTAGTTATGGATTTTAGGGCAATTATCATTAAAAATTAGCATCAACTGGACAATAATTAAAGATTAGCACTTACGAATAAATAAATTCTTCAGAGACAGTGCATGAAATGACACTGATTTCTGAGTATTGCTGGTGAATTAAACCGAGCACCGAAAAGAACTTAGATATTTAAGACATATTTGTTACTTGTTGATAATGATGATCTTGAAAGTACTTATTTTCTCTTGAAACGTCTAACCAATCATGATCATGATGTGATCTTTTGCACCCTAAAAATGTTATGACGTACATATCTGGGGTAGATAATCTTAAAAAAGTGTCACGAAACAGTGCATTTTACCTAGTCATGGAGTGCAAGCCCAACAAACTGACATATCAAATATGTATATCACTATCCGTCCAAAATATCCCATCTTTCCCTTAACTGATCTGTTTAATAATGAACATTTACATAGTTCAAATGGCTTTAATCTTACAAAAATAACTGATTTTACTTTTGTTTGCTTCGCTCAACCATAAACGAATTCGGATAAGATTAACACATTAGTTCGTAACAATGACATCTTTCGTTTTTTTAACAGATTATTTGTTGATCCAAAAAGTTTTATAATCTGTGACAAGATTATTTAACCCTAAAATTTATCTTCTTAACATATCATTATTCATTCAAATTTGATCGTTTCAGACAGATACAATTCTTCCCATTTTATATAAAGACACTGAAATTAGTAATCATTATGATTTACGATCGTAAATAAACTTTTGGCCTTGTGTTTCAGGTGTTTTAGTTATCTTATATAATCTTGAAGTAAACATAACCAGTTAGCTCTTATCTTCGGTAAATTCTTTGACTCATTACATTCAGGTCACAGGAAAGCCTGACAAATAAAAAATGTAAAACGTGTACTGCACTTTTTGTAGTCAAGTTGAATAATTATCTTACGGGTTAATCATTTTCAGTTAGTAATTCAATCAGAATAATCTCAACTCCTGACATTTATCACATAATATATTCGGAGAATTGAAATCATACAAACAATGAATGATAAAGTGACTACTGAGAAGCTGATCGAAAAACTAATTCTTTTATCGGTCCTATGTAAATTATTTTTCACTAATCAACTAAATGGTATTTTGCAAGTTTTTTGCAAAACTGCATTTGCAAAATTTGTCGTTTTTTTCATATAAATCAGTATGCACTGGAAATATATATAACATAAGATTTTAAGTGAATTTACTTCATCCCTCGGTGTTTAAAGTTCTTGTCCTACAAAAAAAGAGCCTTAACGAGGAAGGCTATTTTTTAGGGATAAAAGTTGGCGTTAACTGAAAACTGGATTAATACGGCTACTGTGAACTATGTTGACTGAGTAAACCTTTGCGATCTATCTCACTATTTCACCTAAGAATCAGAACACACAGATTTTTATCATATTATATTTATAACTAAGATTTCTACTATTCTTTGAAAAAGTTCAGTATAATTTCGAAGAATCTAGAAGGCGTAATTATAAAGGCAAGATGAAATTTGCTCATTATTTATCATTCATAAATGTTTACATTAAAGAGATGCAGACTAAAACACAAACAAATAGCATCATATCATAAGTTTTACTATGTTTTTGTTTCATTTTATGTGATATCACATCACATTTTCCCTGAAGACTGTTAGGGTCTACTCTGGTGATCTAAGGGTTTGATGATGCACATGGGTTATGGCGCACATTTATGACGTTTGTGTAAGAACGAAGAAAGGTAGTGGTCGGAAAGTTTAAACTAGATGGAAGCTATTTCAACAACTACAAGATACTAGCAGCCAGAAACTTCGTAACAGAACGATTTATGAAGAGCGGTCTGGTTTTTGATCAGGATGTTGATGGAACAGTCATGTTTTCACTCGACTGCCAAATGTTTGAGTGTCACAACATGTATTGCAGGCCAACAAATATTGTTTGACTTGATATCAAGGTAGCCTTAAGTTCTTTGGACAGAACTGTGCTCCAAGATTATCTGTTGAAGAGTGTGTTTAAGAAGCTTAAATGCCCTGTACGTGCACGCATCAGGTAAAGTAATGTCTATTAGACTAGTAATTTAAATCACTCAACCTGATAACCTACAATACTTTAGAGTTCTATTAAATTTAACTGAGATCATCAAAAAGTAAGTGACTAAGCAAACTCGTATGTTCGTCCAGAGAATTTATGTATTACTAACTCTGTTGTAGTAACCCAGTCATTTAGTTTATTGGAACTTGTAAGCCAGTCATCTGTTGTCTAACAATTATTGCAAATGAATGTTCGAATACTCCATCAATGAATGCTTGATCCGAGTTCTATATACAGTTGAACTAAGAAAACTATAAGTTTCACTACAAATACAACACTGAACCAATACTGTTATATCTATTCGTCTCAGTTTCCAACTTTAGCTAGTTCTAATTTTCACAATAAGAATCTTTCATATTCTAGTTCATTTTATTAGTCAGTAATCAACCACTGGCCATCTTAATTTCGATTTTTCTGACCCATATGTTACCCTGAAAATTCAGGAAACTTGTTTCATTGGTACTCATAAGTTAGTTTTTGATTTTCGATTATTATAACAGTTTTAGTGAGATTTTCGATAATTCTCTGACTGGTTTCAGTTTGTTGTGTTTGCATTAGTGTGCATTATTTACTTTAATTGTCTACTGCTATTATTTATTTTTACCACTGGTATGTTATCAGGCGAATTTTCGTCAATTTATTGAAAATGTCAAGATGGCCGATGTAGATAAAGTTAATAAATGGTTGAATAAAGGACTGGATCCGAATTTCCAATGGAAACCAAATGGAGGTAAGTGAACAAATTATTATGGCTGATTTCTAATCAATAAGTAACTGAATATCAGGATAAACTTATTATGACATGATAGATAAATTATTATATACGTTTGTCAGTTTAAAAATGTAATTCACTCTTGTCCACATTTTTCAGAACTATATAAAAATGGTTTGCTAATTATCCATATGTGTATATTTATCATATATAAATACGGTTGTATAGCTTTGCGAATGGGCTCCTAAAAAGTGGTTTCTGTGTTAAGTAATGTATTCTAAAAAAATATGTGTTTATCAGTTACTAGTGTACAGATCAATTACATTGAATTATATTAAACTGAAATGAGTAACTAGTTTTCAGTTTAAAGACGATTTAACTAGTGGAACAATATACAGATTCTTTTTTAATGATAGTTATCCATGACGGTGTCCTGGCGGGGGATAGTCACCCAATTATTGGGTAGTAGTTTAAGTAGAGGTTATTTGTTTATTATCTGTTTGCCCATCGAAATACATTCTGGTGGCTTGAGGTAAAGTTTGAGGCAGTAGTACAGTTATATATTTATAGAGTGAAAGGGATTAGTCGACCTTTTTGATCTTATTTCATAATTCGGTCATTAATTTCTGCTTCAATGAAACTTTGTTGTAACAAATAAAGAAATCGAGTGTCATTTTTGAAATTGGATTTCATGTGCCTTTGCTGGGTTATCACTGTTGCGTGATAAGGCGCGTTAAGGTTCAAAACTTTAGCCAAATTATGAATATTAAAAAAACTATCACTTTGTACCTAGTTGTTCCGTTACCAATAAAAAATACTGGGATTATTTCAAAAACGTCTAATATAGTACAACGATATTACTTCGTATCAAAAATTTATGCTATATCTCTGATTTTTTATCGCTGACATTTATAAATTAGCTTGATTCAGTTCGTTCAACTCTTTAATATGGATCAGGGAAAGCATTTTCGAAAAAATTGGTTTTTGATAATTCAGTGCTAAAAATAGTTCGTTTTAACAAAAATAACTGCAAACTCTGTGACTTTTAAATCGTCTAGAAATAATATCTTGATGTTGTAATTCTTGCGAAATTGTATTATGGATCCTATTCGTTTGTACCGATTGTATGATAAACGGTTCATTAAACAGTTTATTGTTCAAATCATAAACGCAAGCTATATCGTATAATGAATAAACTGAATGCTTAAATGTTGTGTATACAGACGCTGTACTTAACTATACAGAGGAATAATGGTAAATTGTATGACATCAGTGTAAGAATTATGAATAAAATCTAGTTAATTGAATGTAGTTGTGTTTCATCAGTTGTTTAATTAAACGGGAGAATTTACTCTTTCTGAATTATTATTCTCTCCCGATCTTTCATTCCGTCCGATATATTTATTGATTATTTGTTAAGCGCAACTTAATAGACCTACTGTCTCCTAGATATATAATTGCATACTAATATGGATACATTGTGACGTAGATTACTTCTCCCATATATTCATATTATGATAGATATTAGTCGAAATACAGATTAGTGACAATATCCCAAGGGGATAAATCATTGAAATGTTTATTTATCTTAACTAACCACCGTTTGATCAAAACATTATTGCCAGTGAAAAATTTTGTATTGTGATATCAAACTAATTCTAATTCGAAACTGCATTCTATCTAGTTATCTAACTTGATTTATATATCTTTATTATCTTCAGCTATAATCTCTTTGAATAGTGTTCTTTCAATTCGGGCAAGAGTTTTCGACTAAGAACTTGCAGTTATAGTCCATATTAAGGTTAGAGTAAATGAATTATTAAAATAAAATGAATATGTGATTGGTATAAGAATATGTATGAAGGTTTAAGTATACTAATGAAAGATGAGAGTAAACACTTGACTTGTAAACTCTAGTTTTATCATCACACAGGTTATGGCGATTATCGTTGATTGCTGAAGTCATAAATCAATCATTGTCAGATCACCACTGACAACTTGGAAGCACTGGACGGTCGTTTTGTCCTGGCATGGGACTCGTCAGCAATGCGAATCCACAACGCCTGCTACTCGTAGGATTCGAACCTAGGTCCTTCGGTCTCGCACGCGAACACCTAACCTCTGAACCACTGGGCCGGCACCCAACACTGTTAATGCTTAACTCTTAATTTTTATTGGTACATCATACTGTTGTAAGGTATAGTTTCACTGAAGTCACTTCTCAGCCATTTATAATTTGAGATGAATAATGAACCGTAGTTAATTACTGTAGTACGTAATAATAAATTGAGTTGTGTTGAACAAACTTTACCGTTTATTGATACTAACGTGTACACTATCAGTAAGCGATTATTTATATTCAACTTATGCTGAAAGATTCATGGATGTATGTAAGTTGACAAAATTCCTTTCCATCTACTAAATATTCACAGATTTCAATCAAATATTGATTTCTAAAACTGCTTAGTTGACTGATATTTTTTTTAAATTAGCAAAGCAAATAAAAATGTAACAGACAAAAATTTATTAGAGAAAGGATTAAGAGTCATTGATACGAAATGCTTACAGTACTTCCTGTTTAACCAATTCAATACTCTCTATACAATGAACTATACTTATGTATATATATACGCGTAATTTCTCAAGTTTGTTTATTGCCTAGCCAAATTAGTAAGTTTCCCTATAGAAACCTTGATTAGGAAGATCGATTTTCTTCACTGTAATGTAGTGATTGTCTAAAATTAAGCTGTGTTGTTGCTGGATAAAATCAGATGCGTTCAGATGATTAGAATACTAAATTTCAAACCACTACATTTATGGAGTAATTTAAGAAAATATTTTGTTGGTGAGAAGCTTAATTTACGTCTTCATCTTAAATTCGAAATATGGTGATAATTATATTTATATCTAAAAAATGCTAAAAATCCAAGAGAATTTGCAGTAAAGCTGTATCGGGTGTACACCCAGTCGACGTCCCTTCATGGTTTGGGGGGAATTCGACAAAAGCAATACTTGGGTTCATTTTGTCAAAAATGACTGACAATGACCATGTGGTATTATTAAACGAAGACATCTGAAATGGTTTCTGGTATTTCGCTAACTTGGCATTTGTCTTGTCTCTTACACGCATCAGAAGGTACTAGGACTCGAACTACCAAACATAGTCTATGTTGGAAAAAGATTTGTTAAACACCAGTCAACTCCTTGAGTTGACAAAACCTAATAAATAATTTTACCAGTTTTTCACATCTTTTTTTGATTTTTGAACTTTTCGTATCTCCTTTTTTGCAACTATTTCAACGATTTATTCACAAAAATTTGTTGTTGCATCGTTTCTGATGATCTGTATTTTAATTGGTCGAATTTTTCAAGTTTTCACTAGTTTGTTTATTTATGTTATCAAGGTGTTTATTATTTTTATATTCACCATGATACGAGTCACTCAACTATTAGTTTTTACGTATGGCGGTTAGTTATGCAATCCTTTTTAACTGTTTGATGGACTTATAAACTCCTTAGATTGGTTTAGTATTTTTAATATATACATATATTTCAGTAAAGGCTAATGAAGGCCTGATTGAAAATAATATTATCCGTCTGTATTTTTCGTTTAAATTGTGTCAGTTATTTGAGAAACTAATCAGGGTGAACATATATGGTGAAATGCTGAATTAAATGGGTTGAAATGAAAGGCTGAACAGTTTCTTTACAGATTTCAAAAGCCTCTAACTCACGAGTACAATTAACAAGGACATCGCCTTATACTATCAACTGTCTACATTACATACTTCATGAGTAAATCTTACCGTAAGCCTGTAAAAAAGTGTTTGGATAAGTTGGAACTATGGAATGATCGATACTGACGCTAGACGTACATAAATAAGTATAGTTAATGAATCGCTTGATGACATTGCAATACTTTATCAGATGACGTTTCCATGCGTATTATGTTGACTAGTACAGAATTTCGTCGTTAAAACACCAGTGACAGCCAGTTTATGACTGACTGTTAGAATTGTTGTGTTAGTACGTCATAAGGTTTTTGTATTTAACTGATCCATTGTGTCAGAGTAAGTAGATTTAGATCGAAGTCTAGGTCTATCTGACGAATGCTAAGCACGATTTATACACAGAGCGTTTAGTCATTCACTTGTCACTCAAGTATTGTCTGGAAAAATGTATACACTACTCACAAAAAACATTAATTTGATATAAAAATTTTAATCAGATAAACTATTTAGCAAATTACAAGTGAGCTAATTTTTGAAAAATACAGTTATTTTCATCATCGCTAGATGTTTAGGTATTTTGGCGATTATTTTTAATTGATTTCAAAGGGATACAAATCGGAAGTATTTGGAATGCCATAATCGTTTAAAATCTTCATTTATATTCTATTAGATAAAAATATTACGCTCAATGTACACTATATATAAATTACTTCAATTTGTTTGTATTTTACTTTACAGTACGTTTTAATCCATTTTTATTCGTAAATTTTCCAAATAGAAACTCCACTCACCATGGCTGTGCAATTAGAAAAACCATATGAAATGATTATGGCTTTAGTAGCTGGTGGAGCGCATTTAGACTATCGAGCATCAGACAGTATGACACCACTTCATCGTGCTTCAGTGAAAGGAAACTATGAAGCTATTAAGGTGAGTGATTGTTGTTCTGCTCTTAATAATTTGCCACTCAGAGTAAATAAAGTTCTCAAAGAATTAATTATTTTAAAAAATAAAGATGAATCGCAAAGATAGTTTGAAATGAGTTGTGTACAGCGTACTTTGATGAAAGGCGTTTTTTACTAGTCTGTTGGATGTGATTAAGTACAGGCAACATCGGTGAGGTTGAAGCACATTCAGTCAATCCATCTCTAATAATATATCAAAATGTGTACCGTTAATAATAACCATGATTCAAGATGAAATAAACTACTAAATACAAGTAAAATTAAAACAGTAGACCAATTAAGTTTTGAATAACTGTTTTGTTGACTTATGCTTATCTATTTTGTTTAGCATGTTGCTTAATCGCTATCACAATAAATCAGATATGGTTAAAAGGTTTTATGCGATTAAGTCAAAGTCGCTCACAATTCGGTAACGCTCTGAAGTGAACCATTCTGAAGAATAAGAAATGCATATTAATAGTAGTAGGATATAGTTTTAAGAGATGTACAATTTAAATTGCAAGGATAAAGTTTAAGTTCCACTTTGCTAAGTGTAAATGAAAGAAGTGTTTACACATGCTTGGTATGGATAGAGGTCGCTTATTTTATTTTATTTATTTATTTTCATAACATTCACCTTTTAAGTTGTTCTTTTTTCCTCCCACCAAAATATTTAGAGAATAAATAATACGATCAATTTGATTTATGCTTAGCTCTATGTTATTCCTATCTTTGTATAATAGTGAAGGTTTTAAAATTGTTTGTTTATTTACATTCCTTTACGTGAATGTTGATAATCCACACCAGTTTTAACTAATTTAGTCCCAGCAATTAGTCATATTAATAAAAGAAATATGTGGATTATTGGTAATTTTCCCCATAACTAAGTGAAACACATAAAAAAATGCCTTGGACAAAAAAATTTAAAAAATTACTACGAATAAAAGGCACATAAAACATCGAGCTGTTTTTTGCACTCATACAATAAATGTTACAATTTAAGTTTTTCATTGAGGTGTAGTTTGAAATCGCAGGACTAAATGTGAACATTTTAAAGTAGACTTTAGATCATATTCAGTTGGTCGTTAAAATTAAGAGCTACTGCAATATTTTCCGTTTCATAGTCCCTATGATATTCTCACAAAGAACATCATCGACATTCAATTATATCATCCAGTGTATAGCTATTTTTCTCAGGGGACTTCTAAGATGCAAGACAGGAAGCTTATCAAGCTATAAATATCTTGTTTTTTATGTCTACCCAAATTACCGAAAGTGACAATAGTTTAAAGGTTAAGTTTCCTGATTCTTCTGGTTTTTGTATTAGGTTGTTAAGATAGACTAACGTCAATGATGTTACGTTGTTTGATTTTATGAAGTAATGAATCTTGAGTTAATTTTATACACAGCTCTCAAATTTATCGCATAAGTAAATATTATAGTGTGTTTGACCATCCTCTTAGATTATGCTTAAATATAAGACCAAAAGAAATTTTTGTCAGCCAAAAAATCCCCAAGTGACAATGGATACCCATAGAAATTTGTCAGTCAGTATTTCATCAAATAACAAAATGAACGTATCAATTAGGATACAAATGAAATGAAATTTTTTTTCTGATACACATGGTCAATCAGAAATAAGCCTAATAATAAGCGTAAAGTACTGACGTAAGTACGCTATTAGTAGAGATTTGGATTGAATTTCCAAGGGGAATATACCATTCATTTTTAGTGATTAATGCAAATATTTTTCGTTCGGTTAGCCAACAAAAGCTTACTTTTTACTAATACTTTTCTTACTGAACTAGCTGGTTCAAATAAGCGTATAGTAAGTGTCTGTATCAGTAATAAACTCGGTCAATTGTAAAAAATAATAGCTCATTATGTTTGTATTATAATGAGTGGAAATTATTGAATTAACTATTCACAGAATAACTAGCACAGTGGGTATATTTTACAGCTGCAAGGTTCGTTTCTCTAAATGAAAAGGTCTGTACCCTAAAACCAACAAAAATCAATAAGTCCTTATTTCTCAATACATCAAATCATATTTATCAATCTGCAGACGAAATAATCCATGCCCTTATTCATTGATGCATCTTAAACAGCTTAATAATAAAAATTTCCATGGGACTAAACAGCACAACAGTTTGAAGTATTATGTTGTATAACTTCTACAAACCTTACAAATATTTAACAGATGAAATCACTGAACTTTATAACGATTAGTTGTAGAGGTGGCACAAACTTCAGATAGAAGAGGTGAAGTTTTGAATTTCTCCACATTTGACCTGTAGCTTGTTCTGCTAACCTCGATCAAACCCAACCAAAATATCCAGCTCAGAGAACGAAACACCACCACAATCATCCACCTGAGCTATAAATTTTCTCCACCATCTCAATGATCCCCTAGTTTTTTTTAAACATTTACTACAATCGAACGTTGACACTTTTAGGAATTTGGGCCCATACCTGTCCGATAAAAAAGGAATAATCACTTGAATTTTTTACAATACCAAACATTTATTTTTTATACATCATTTCTATTCCGTATTCTTTGCTAAATTATTACTCTACTTATGGGTCACACCTCAATTAGATATGTTGAAAAAAAGAATTTGAACATAATTGCAACTTATTTTTTTTAATGTTTACTTTAAAACTTTAATATGATTAATCAGTTCTGTGATAGTTGGATGAGTCATTGTTGAAATTTTGTTGTGGGGATATTTTTGTTAGTGTGAAATAAATATGAACCACTGATATATTCCCAGTTGTTAAAAATGTTGTTTATCTAGTAAGCTGTATTTGCACACCCAACAGTTTTAAAGAAAGAAAAACAATTGTAGTGAACAAAGATGAAATCAAACAGTTTTTGCAAAGATAAAAATAATTTAGTAAGAGTTTTATTATTCATAGCAAATATTTCATAGGTAAGTGTAAAATAATGTTTTAAATATCTAGAACTGTGTAACTTGTACTAAAGGAATGATCATGCAAAACAAAGTTGAACGACTTTGTGTATGTGAGCAAAGTAGCCTTTCGACAATATTGCTAAATAGTAGTCAAACAGTTTAAAATCAGTAATGAAAATCCTTTTAATCGATTGAAAACGACAGTGGGAATGACCTGAAACTCCTTACTTCTTGGTAAATGGATTGTAAATAATATGTAAATCAATGAATTTTCGGTCCACTCCCTTTATTCACAGTCTGTTGTTTTTGTTTAATAACAGGAGAGCAGTAGGCTTACGAATGCCAAAGTAGATGATGACTTAATTAATGTTTGGCTCATATAGTTATTTCAAAACTCCATCACTGAGTTCATAACTAAGATTTTATAGGCAGTGAGGGATTTTTAAAAAAGCTTTATGAGGTTATGAAGGAAAGTGGTTAACGTTCAAGTGAATGAGGTTATTCACTATGAAATCGATAACAACCTTTAAAAAACTAATAAAATTACCAAAGACACTCTATCCGTACAGCTTTCATTACATGGCCAACGAAATACTCTCAAGCTATCTAGATTCTTTTCCAACTGACTTAGGAACTGGCTTAAAAATCTTAGGGTTATCTTAACAAGTTTTTCCCTGCGGTTTGTGTTGGGGACGTTAGGTCTCACAGAACTCACTTAATAAAGGTACTAATTTTGTATTTTATTCATGGACTGATCAGTTGACTTTGAGATTACATTTCCCACCCGGAAAATCCTTGACTGTCATTGGTTGTTGTGTTATTTTAGTACGCTATTTTCGTGCCTCTCCCAAGGACGTCTCTATAAAACCTCAATTTTCTGGGTGCTTGTAGAATACACTTTCTATGTCTTATCAAGACTTTTGATACCGTTAGCAGGGCTTTAGGACGATCGGATTAGAGTAGCCTATCGTGTCACTTGACCATATGTCCTCGCTCTCGTTTACCGACTAAGTTGAACTCGTAATAGTTCAAGCATATCAATTCGACGAGCATAACAGTTTGATTGCACTGTCTAAAACTAATACATTCTAAACACTGAACTAAAATGTTAGTGAGCAAAGTAATTAGAGGCTAATTGGTTGACTAACCAATTACATGTACTTTGTTAAAAGTCGGTTTACTAGTATTCTAGAATTTATTCATAAAATATAGTTTAAATTCTGTATATTGAATATGGTAACATTTGCTTAAAACTAGATCGATCCACTTATGTTTTGTGGAACAGTAATTAAAGCAAAGAGGTATGGTTTGAAAATTTTTAAAATCATTTCAAGATTTAACTGGTCACTTTTTGACCTGTTTACTCGACAAAACAAACTGTTTCATTGTTGTTCTGTTTGCTATCTTTACTTTTAAATTGTAATATAAACAATGGTCAGTGCGAAAGGTAAACCAAATGTTTTTAACTCATTTTTGGATGTTCACCGAATGTGAAATCGAAATACACAGACTCGTAGAATGGAAAGTTTCTTACTAGAAATAACTGATATCAAATTCTCAAGTTGTTACACTATTTTATTAACTAACATGTGTGTACAACAATTGAACATCTGGAGTAGTCACTTTTTCATCATTATTGGAAATGTGTAATTTCCAGTGAATGATAAACAAAACCGGTTTCGATAAGTTAATTATTTAGTGATAATAGCCTTATCATTTACTGAATGCATAAATTTTCTGAAAACATTAGTCACTATTTCCACGATGATTTATTGGATGTAAATCAAGATGGAAATGGAAGTTTCGATTCCATCTTCATTTATCAGTAGTAAGAAAACACTGGTTAGAAAACTCATCTTTGTGTATTACTATTAGAATATTTGAATTTTCTCTTAAAGTAAAAAATCGCCACGATTGATCATCATGCTAATACCTAATGTTGAATAGTTTCACATCAGTTAGTTCATATTTGCCTTTAACTAGAGAGAAATTCTTTTTTTAATGGAAAACAGAATTGTTTTAATTTTTAAAATTACTTTTACATTATTTCCTCAGGGGATAAGAGTAAAACACAGGTCAAAAGAGGAGAAGATAATCTGGAAAGAATACTAAAGATACATATTTAGTAAACAGATATTTATGGGTTTTAAAATTCTTCATTAAGTAGAGAAGTATGCGATAATTATGAAAATTTTGCGAAACATGTGGTGTAATCTACTTGAAGCATTTTCAATTCATTGTTATCATTACAATGAATTCCATCGAGATAAGTCATTCATGATGTTGTATTTTTCAACCGTTCATTATATTTTAAACGGCGGTTAAAGTGTGTCAAATGATTTTCAATACTCTTAGACAGTTTGACATTATTCAACATTATCATTAAATGTAACAACATAGTACCTTCCATAACCACACACTTCTGTTGAGATTTGGTTTTAATACCGGTTTCATAAACTTTGAAATGTTTAATTTATACGTCAAAATATTATGGGAGGTGGTTATCACTGTTATCGTGTACTGACGTGTACATTTGGACATTTTAAATCAGCTAAGGTCACCATGCTTAGTTTTCTTATCTCCAGGAACAGTTGGGAACTGGTTAGATTTTGACTCTTTTTAAGGTTCAAAGCATTTTTGGCTGTTGAATATTACAAGGCATAAAATCACAGTTTAGTTTCGTAAAGCAACTAAGTTTGTGAACATTTTATCCTGTGAGCATTTTTACTTAGCCAAAATAGTCACAATATATTATTTGATTTGTAAACGATGATAAGTAAACAGAACTAGATTGTGACATTAGCTTCTATCCAGTAATTCATGAGTAAAACTAGCACGTTAAATGACTTTACAGTTTGCAAACTAGTATCAGAATTTCCAAGCTCCTATGAGATTTTTTTAAGAAACGTACACTACTGAAAGAAATACACTGTTTACTTCTTAATAACCAGTATAAGTAATAGAAAAATCACTAATTGAGTTATTTTGTTCGATCTCACTTTTCATGTTTGATATTTTGTGATTGTTCCTGCCAACATATTCATATTGATGTTGACGTTAGAAACAAAACATTGAAACTGTATGTCAATTTAAAATGCAATTGTTCTTACCTGTCCAGACAGTCACAGCTATGTGCTTTTGTAAATCTTAATTAACAGTTGTTTTTGCTTACGTGTTAAAAAATAAATGCGATATTATAAGTGTTAATGATGATTCAGAAAATGTGTCATTCCAACTTCGCATAATCGACAAGTTCTCCTTTCTTTTGTACACAGAATATTTTAATTGTTTTGTAATTTGAAAAAAAGAAACAAGTATTTTGTCCTTCATTTGTGTTATCCATAGGAAAACAGTGATTAATAGCGAATTACTTAACATGTGTATCCTCATGAAATCTGTTAATTCACTTCAAATCTTCAGCATATTGAAACGGTTCTGTCATTTTAACTACCTAATTGTTTAAAGTTTCTTGGTAAACAGAATCGATTGAACTTTCGATTACATTTTTGATATGAACAAATTTTGTTCACTCACTGTTCAGATGAAGTGAAAGTCTGTACGACATATTAAAAATGCTTATCGTTTGAACAGAGTGAAATACCCTATGATCTAGTAAACATCATATGTGACAAAATGGGCTTGTCAGTAAATTATTTGTTTACTTGTTTGTTGCTAAGGGCTTGCTAATACTCTATTCTATTAATAATGATAAGATAAAACGATGTTTATTGATTACCGATACAAATCTATTAAAAGTATTTTCCTAATTCTGACCATCCATTGCTAGCCGAGGAGCAACTTGTGTAACATACTATTCAACTTAGGTATAGCTACTGTAAATTACGAAGTGTACACTACCAACCAAAAGGTCATATTTAAAGAACGTTAATTTGAAAGCCATAACACAAGTTCTTACGATAGCGAAATTCATTTCAAACTTAGAGGATTCGCCTATCAGCTCTTATGTTAAATGTCGAGTATTATTCATATTCTGGAGACGTTTTATGCAAAAAATGTTATATAATTGTGTATTGATCATTATTAGACCACCATTAGAAACTTGGAAGCACTAGACGGCCGTTTTGTCCTAGTATGGTTTCTAATGATAGTCTGACGATGATCGACTCATAATTTCAATAAAACGCAACAATCTCCCTAACTTTTTAAGGAAAATGTTATTAGAAACTTGGAAGCACTAGACGGCCGTTTTGTCCTAGTATGGTTTCTAATGATAGTCTAACGATGATCGACTCATAATTTCAATAAAACGCAACAATCTCCCTAACTTTTTAGGGAAAATGTTATATAAATGAGTATCAGGTAAATCCTAACAGTAATTATTGACTCTACAATATCATTCAGTTTACTTCTAACATAGCTCTACGATACTACGTTTACTGTGGTTCAATATCACTCATTAGTCTGTGAAATTTTATTAAGCCCTGCTTTTCAAAACATGATCCTAGTTTTTCTTTAGCTGAAACATTAAAAGCTATGTAATAAGAAATGACTTAGATTTTTTATAGTTACTGTAACAGCTGATATAATTAGGATACCAGTGTTGAACGTCAAATGAGATTAATATCAGTCAACGTAACTACGTGGAAGTAGTAGTTTTAATCACTTACTATATTTATAAAATTTGTACATTATAGCAGTTAATTATTTTACAACTCTTGGCTGAGTTATACTTAACATACAAAACAACAATTCGTTATCGATTGGTAAACCCATTACAGTCTTAGTACTCTGAACAAAAAGTGTACTGATACTCTCGGTTAATTTTAATTACTTGAACATTAGATATTTTTTAAAAAAATTCTCATACACCTATTTTATATCTATAATGTTAAAACTCTGATTGACCTTTTAACTAATCTTTATAAAACAGAATAGATTGTTACTCCTGTTTGACAATGTACACCACACATGTAAACACGCATTGAAGATGTCTGTTTTAAAGCTATTTTAAATAACACTTAGTTCAAAAGATTTCAACAAGTGATATGCATTTTCATCATCCAACTGTGCTTGTGATTCATTTTCTGTTAAAAGAAATGCTACCGTTAAATCGATTTTCACGACTACGTTGCACATTATAACTAGACCGTAATGATCAACATTAACATAGACGAAGTGTGTGTAGAAACAAAATTAAGTCGACAAAATAATTTCTGAAAAATATTATTCTTTAAAACATTGAATTGTCATGAAGTTATCTTTATTGGCAAGGTATGATAATTCATCAAAAGCTATTGAGATGCTGTTACTTTACTAATACCATTCTCACTATTCATCATCATAGCATTGATTATTTATGTATTTCAATATACTACTCAAGGAGCTTTTCAAGTAGCTCTGAGAGAAAATTCTGGAATTCTCGGAACGAAACGTTTCTTCAAAACAAGAGAAACATCTAAAATACTAGAATGCAAGAGGATATTATCTAATGACAAAAGTACAACATCATATAGAATGTTAGAAAAAATGTTTCACTTTGACCACTTCAATAAACATAATGAAATTTGTTTATTTCGTTGGTTCTTGAAATAAATCAGGTGTAGAAAAATTGTTTACAATACAGAGCATAAATTTACATTTTACTTGTGTGCATGTTCGAAAACAAAACTGTTTAGAAAAACAACCAGTTGATGATGAATCAATCAGTGTTTTGTTGAATCGTTATATGTAAGACGATATTTTGATTACTGTAACAGGTAAGATTCTGGATTGTCTACATTTTACCGAATCAATAATGCTCCATTTTCCAAAGAATCTTTTCATCGGCTAGTTGCAAAGTGATCGCAAACCTGTTGTAGTCATCCGTCTATGGAATATCATTCAGTTTAAACAAACTCTCCAAGTTATCGACCAGAAGGTAACATTGCTGGAAATAAAAATATTACGAATGATGTTAGATTTAAATTGTTCGATTTCAAAAATTTTGTCATGTTCAAATCATTCATTATCGGATAGCAAATGAATTGTTTATGGAGGCTTTCTAAGTTCAAGTCTTAAGGTTCTGACTTCTATTCAATATATTGTCTTAAATGGGCAGAGACGTAATGTTCCAAAACGTAAAATTCATTAAGTTTTGAATTTTATTGATTCTTTCATTTGTTCCAATCTGTATGAAGAGATACATTTACATTGAACAAACTCTCCGTAAATTAACCCTACCTAATAAGCTGTTTTATCCACTTACTCCCTTTTAATAAAAATAATTTGTGAAGCCGAAATTTCTTACCTTTGCTTTTCTAACACAAAACATGATACATTACTTTTTAGTATAAATAGGTCCGACGTCTTTTGCTTAAGTACCTGATTATTATGAACTGATATCAAGTATTTTCAGGTAGTTAATTCTTACAAAATCAGTATGACTTGAATTTATTGATAAGCAATTGTAGTTAGTTTATTAATTCATTTTTCTGATGAGTTAAATTTATTTGAAATGCATATTTTAGGTACTTCTTGATCTTGGTCAATCACCGAATACACGAGACAAGGCAGATTTAACGCCATTATATTACGCAGTGTTGAACAACACAATATCTTTATGTGTAGAACGACTGCTATTTGAACATTCTCCTCTTGGAATAGCGGATGAAGCAGGACTTCAAGAAATACATCAGGTAGATTACATTTTAATAACTTGAAATTACTATTAAAATATCCATCATTATATTTTATGCTTACCAATAAAAAAATATGAGTTCGGACCGAACTATGCGTTGCTTTTTAAAAAATTATATGTAAACGTTGGTAGACACTATTTGAACAATAATTAATGATCGAAATTCAAACAGTTTCAGTGGAACAGAAGGTTCATTGATTGTTAATATATGATAGGGACGAGGAAACCATACTAATTAATTACTATAACATCTTATTTACAGCAATATTCGTGTTTCGTTGTCACAAGGCGAATAAATATTTTAAAATTCTGTTAGCCTTAAGTCAGCAACAGTTTCTTTGAAACAATGCATGAGTGGTGGTGATCTTAAACGTGGGAAAAAATGGTGGATTTGTTAGTTTATTTTAATTATTTAAATAGTTAATACGACATGGAAACTATGATTTTTTGTTGAATAAATAATAATTTAAACTATAACGGTTTCACACAAATGTTCATTTGTGATTTGTATGATTTAAGTTAAGTTTATTATTTAGGCTTTATGATTAGATGATTTATGAACAAGTATTAGCTTTATGAATTATAATGTGATGTTTTGTAAAATTCTTGCTCAACAAATGTATAAATATCTAATCAGATATTATCTACGTAGAGCAATATGCCGATAGGCTATATGTGGCTGTTTTCTTTGATCACTGCCATATCTGGGGTGATATGACCACTGAAAACTATCTCTCTTAAAGTGATTTTTTTGTTAGAAAAGAACAAAGAGGAGTACGATTGATAATAATCAGTGTTAATTTGAATAACAAAAGATGTTCTGTGATGATACTAAATCCATGGTAATAGTTTTGCTAACATTTATTTTCCATAATATAATTAACAACAAAACAAAAGTTTTAGTGAATCTAGAGGCAAACATTTCCTTCGTATCGTCAAATGATTTGAAGTTTGGAAAAAAGGCTATGAAAGAATGAATGGAATAAACAATGCGTCATTTAGAATAATCAATCACAAACCATGTATATTTTGTTGTAGAGTAACAATTTTGAAGGTGAAACTGTTGTATGTGTTATTTATCATTGAACGAGCTACAGTTTTTTTCGATGAAGTATATACTACTTCGATAACTTTGTCTTTAAGTGTACGAAGTGAGACTTTTAAGGAGCTGTTTATGTTAAATTTGTCGTGTAGTGTTTAGTGTTCTATCGAAAGTAAGCTAGTCATTTTTTTTCTCAAATTAAAAAGCAAATAAGTTGAAATGTTTTTCATTTCGCACAGATTTATTGAAATTAATAGCAAGTCAGTTATGTTTTTTTTTTCACGACAACGATAGTTTATTTTATAACTGTTGTTCAAAACATCTATAAAATTCCACCATAGAAGTACTAATCACTATCAGCTAAACAAATGATTTTATCTGTTTCACTTGGGCGTTTCGGTATGAAATGTTAGGCGATAAATACAACAGAATAAATCTTGTATCCGCCTAGATTCCAAAACGTAGTGTGTTTTATCAACAACGTTCTGGACGCAATTATTCTAAAATGAAATCATATTGCTTACGAAATCACTCACCTAAACCAATTTAGATGAAGAATATATATTTTTGATTCAATGCATAGTAATAAATTTATATCATTTCAATGAGTTGAAAATTGTGGTTTTGACATCATTTTACTTGTAGTAAAACGTTTGTATGTGTATTCGTTGTCTTGAAGAAGTCAAAAATTCAGGTTTCTACTCACTGAAATATTAGACATATATCACATTATGTTTATCGTTATAAATGATAATCCACCAGATGTTTAATTAGTTTAAAATTTTATCAGCCAGTTAGATTGATAGTTTTCTGAAAGAAAATTATTCATTTCGGACTATGAAATTGACAGACATTATTTATAAGCTTTGAATTTATGAAGATAAGCACCTAGAATGATCAATAATGTTGACCTCAAACCATTATATGTCCAAACTTCATGTGAAAAATGACGCTGTGTTTTTGTTGTTGTTTTCTTTAGTCATATTACCTGACATTGATCTATTAAACCTTAACCAATAAATAATAAAATAGAAAGAAGTCAGTTTTATGTGTAAATTCAAACAGCCTAGTTAAGTTAGACGGTTACAAAGAATATCTCCTTATTTGCGATCGTTTTAAGATGTTAAAGTTCATTTTGAATTTGCCCGTGATTATAACATCCTGTAAACATCATACTCCTTAATTCAAATATCTGTATCTAGAGTTATCGTAAGTAGTTTCTAAATATTTGTAACTAAGAAACTTAATGATCTGAGAGAATTTAAGATCAAATTGAAATGTTGTACTTGTGTAAATAACGTTCAGTTGACGTAAATATCAGTTAAATAAATATCTAGTGCTTCTTACGTTTGATATTTTTATGTCGTTTAATAGGAATCAATGAACACCGTACAGCACTGAATGTTCCACCTGATTAGTTCGGCGTTTATGAGCAATTAGGCACTAGAAAAGCGTTTTGAGCATGATCATTCGGAAATTATTATTTTTCCGTAGTCTTACTAAGTTAGCTTTGATGTATCGTATTGAACAACGAAGTAGACTAGTGTAGAGGAGAAACGTAGAAAAGATTACGCATAATAAATATTCTATTTTATATAATCGTATAAAAATTTATCTGTTTCGATTCGGTCATTCATTACAAAGTCATCTCCACATTGTATGTGATAAAAACATAATATCATGACTAGTTGTAATCGAAAACAAACTGTATTGCATGCTATCAAATATATTCGTTGAAAGGAAGTTTCCTGTAATATGCCAAACTGCCAATGGGATCTCTTTGGAGCTCATCAACTTTTAACTTTTTACGACCATATCCAAAATCTTTGCTGCTATTTTGGCTTATTAATACTGTTAAGAATCTCAATCGAGACATTGCACCGAGCACTTCAAATGTTAAATGATTAAATATTCTTAGCTGAAGACTATAATATAAACCTGTTTTAGTTGTTTATGACATTCGATGAAAAAGCAGAAAAAAATCGTTTAACATCATTATTAGTTGACATCTTCAGCATATTTAGTATTCAATCATAGAGCAGTTCATATTTTTGCTTGTCAAACAATCTTCATATTGATTGTTAAATAGGTTCTCTATTACTTTCCTCATTTACTTTCAACAGGCATGTAGATTTGGTCGTGTACAACATTTGGAAATTTTACTTTCCTACGGCGCTGAAATTAATGTACAAACATCAAAAAACGGCAATACTCCACTACATATATGTGCATACACAGGACAAGAATCCTGTGCTCGAATGTTATTATTTCGGGGTGCTGATAAAAATATTAAAAATTTCAATGGGCACACAACTTATGAACAAGCAATGATTTCTAATCATCTAGAAATAGCCGATTTGATTAAAAGTTTTCAAGAAGAAGATGTTGGTAAGTAGATGACGATTCAAAATAAATTATTAGGATCCCTGATTTACTTAGTTAGTTGTAGAAAGAATTATTTTAAATCTCACATTAGCTGTACAAATTTTGAAATGATAGCCGTTTCTTTGTTATATTTCATCAAAACAATATAGCTATATAGTGTGAACATATGTTTCATAGCTGTTTAAGATAAGCGAAAAAGCCCGTTAAAAGTAAGTGATAAAGAACAGCTCCGAATACTCATAAATGCACATACATAATAATAAGTAGGATTAAATTCACTTACTTCAGGCATGAAAATTAGGATGATACACTTAAGCTTACAGGCGAGAATCTTTTGTTTCTGAATTTAAACTAAACTAAATTTAGACTAAACTCGCTATTTTCAGCGCATAAATCTTCACTGTTAAATAAACTAGTGTTAAGAGGTTGTTTGATTCTTCTCGTCTTTAAGCAATTCCATAAAAGGCACCAGCTTCTGAAGTCATTCAGAACTACTAGGTCATTATTCAACCTGAAGCGTATACGTAAGCAAACATACCTATTATTTGAGAGTTTAAAATATTTATGATTTGTCTGGATGGCATTAAACCTGGTATGACTGTTTAACATCTTAATTAAATATGAATATGTTGCCTAGGTAATCAATTTAGTTCACATAATTTCTAGGGAGATACCTACTAGCTTGTCTTAAATTTTAGAAGGTTATTCGAATAAATTCACTTTGCCATTGGTTTTTCATCTACATCAAGTCGAATTCTTAACTTCACCTGAACTCCGATGTTTAGCTCCATTTTGATAAAGGTAAACTTGACTAGTCACATATCTAGGAATCAGACGTTGGCACCAAATATGTTACAGAGATTTGCCTTCATAATTTACATACTAATTTTTTACTGCTAAAATGGAAGTATTTTGTATGATTAAGTATGTTAATTGTTTTAATCAGCATTATTCGTTAGCTGAATTTATAAATAACTGAATATTCAGTCGAATGAGCTAACTGGATTGAAATAACCGTTATGAATGTGTTGATTTTATTCATATTCCATGATCAGTCAGAAAGCAACTCATATAAGTGAAATACACATAATTTCTATAAAAAAAACCATGCTTCATGTTATAGTTAACAAAGAGCATATTAAATTATTACTAAGAATGTTATCATGAATACAGGATAACATTAAAATGACTATAGTTTCATCTTCATTCCGAACAGTGAATTATAAGAGCATTACCAAAAATATACTATACGAAGCATAAATGAAGTAATTTTGAACAAAATCACGCTCAATTCATACCTGGATTTCACATTTTCATGCTGTCCTAACTCATAGTACTGACAGATAGTTAGTTAATTATTTCCCCGTGACATTGTCCGGGGAGAATGTCCAGTATTGTCTTATTTCCAAGTAGATCATAATCAAGTTCAGTGTAGTGAATGTGAATGATACGTTTTTCCCGGTTTTAATGGTTTATATCAAATTAATAGTGGCCTAACTGGTAGAAACAATGCGTATTACATAGAATGCCTAAAAATGGAGAACTCTGAAAATTGGAACAGTTGAACAACGTTTTGTTGCATCCTAAATCCTTGTCATTATTTCCCTATCTTCACAATGGTTATTTTTTAACATTATTTAATTACCAAGTCACCAAAATGTACTACATAGTTTGGTTGCAGAATACTCCAGGATGAATAAATCATTCTTCAAAATTGATTCTGATTGAATTTATCAAAGACATTTTATAACAGATCCAGTTGTAACAAAATAAGTAAATCAGGAAATAGTTATGAGTACCGTATCACTTGATGATACGTACAATTTCTAATGAATACTAGGCATCAAATGAAAATGAACACATTTAATTCACTGATTTAATTATCTTAAAATAATCATTATAACAATATTTTAATCTAGTTTACACTGTTTAGACCGGTAAAAAATCATGTCATCTCACAATGAGACAACCAAAATGTAACACGTTGGAACATGTTCGTCATTAACAGTGTGTGTCAAAGTTCACTAATAATAATAATAATCACAATTTTATTCAATATTATGTGCTCAATACATCATGGAATATTCGTCTTGAAGTCTATTCTATGCCATCATGATGAAATGAGTTAGTTTTCGAAGATTTTACCAATAGAAAAAATTTACGCTGAAGTCAAAAATGGAAATACTTTTAAAAAAATTTAAATAAACAAAATATAATTTTGGCAGTTAATTTATGCGATTATGGCCAAGTCTGTAAACATTAGAAACGAGACTGAACTTGATTTTTTTGGAAAATGGATATAAATATACTTGGATTCAGCATTGTACAAAAGACTGTAACGTGGCTATAATTCTTTCTTTAATAGTGTGCATTAAACATTTTAGATTTTTCATAAACTGACTGTCAAAAAACAAGTCGCAATATTCACCGGCACCTAATCAGCCTGTACGCTATTGTATTTTGTCTTGATGCATTGAATAACTTCGATGTATATTGTAGACACACAAATAGGTTGAGGTATTGACAAGTTGGCTAACTATATGACGAAATCAATTTTAAAAAATCAAGTACAGTTTAGTAAAACCATTTATTAAGAAATGATAAACACCTATCTATGTCCACTGTCAAGACTAATCATGACTTACTTCTAATACGTTTTGCATGAAAATTGTCTTAGCAGAATACCCAAGTTTTTTTTTAAGCCTTAATTAATTTATAATGAACTCATACTGAGTGTAAAGTCTTGCTCATTTTCACATTTTTAACGTACATTGTAACAAGTGTCTGGTAGTTTTCAAGTCGACAAGTTTCCAACTTTCTTATCTATTTAGTTGTCTGATTTGTCTAGACATTTTTAATTTAAAGACTTTTTTTCTTTAAGTGAGTGTCAGTAACGACTTTGCATGACCATTAATCCACATCATAAATCAATTCCATCTAAGATGAGAAGGAAAAGATTTTGACACCTTTCTTCATAGATGAGGAGGGAAGAAGTCTTGATTCTAGACTGAGAGGGTAACTGTAAATGAATAAAGCCGGAAAACCGTTAACTAGATAGTTTCCATCTGCTGCAAAACGTGTGCTCAACTGTCTAACGTTACTGAATAGCTGAAAGTTGCTGAAAAAGTGTTTTCAGAGTACTATATGCCGCAAACCAATAATTTCACTCAAAATGTAAAGGAAATTGAACATCTGCCTATGATTTTATGTAGTTGCAGATCCGATGTAAATCTGATAAAGATAAGACAAAAGTTCAATATTAAAAGTTTATACTCTTTATTTTCTTTTTTTGCGAAAATTCATCAAATGCAATACGGTTATCCAACGCAAGCGATGAATGACGGTTGTGCATTACTGGTAATTCGTTAAAGTTAGTCATGTTCATCACTGGATACTAGTTCGATGATCTAGAATTTATGTATTCATGTGTGAGATCTTAGGTCCTAGGTTAGACTCAGGGCTGAGGAGTTCCTTATAGGAAGTAACGAGCGCTCAGTGCTTCCTGGATTTTAGTGATGGTTTAAGTATTATCAGTTCATGATTCAAACTATGACATTTGTACAAAAGTTTGTTTCATAGAATGACTTCTTCATATCTCTTTATACTATCTTGCAAACTATTTGTTTCAATTCTTTGCATTTTCAGTTCCGATTCGTCATTATACACAGCGTAACCATCGTCGAAGATCATTTTCACGTGCACGATCACATCAAAGGTGCTCTAGTATGGGACGACTGAATGACTTTTCGAAGCACACGAATGGTGGAAGTAGAATGAATGAAGTAGATGGATTGGCCGAATTAGAACAACATAATAGTGATACACTTAAAGGGAATTGTATAATAAGAAATAATACATGGGTGAATGCCAGTATAAGTGGTTACCCGCTGAATTCTATGATATCTGATCCCGTAGATTTTGTTGACAAAAAAAGTAAGATTGATATTTTTTAAAAACAATGAAATGTGCATTTTTTACATTTTTCTTCGCACATTTATTTGCTGTTATATATATCTGTATTTTTGTCCTAACTGCTATTTTCAAGTTAAAGGTTGTAAGCTATAGTCTATTTTAAATGAATAGTATCTCAAGGACCAGTAAACGTGTATAACATATGTCATTCCATTAATCCTAATCATAATTACAAATCAGTATGTAGGTCAATCAGTCAGCTCAATAGAGAATTAATTTGGAGTTAGTCATTTACAAAGAAGAACTTGGTACAAACGTATATCAGTTCAAGTTGCTATACCGCATTAGTCCAGAGAGATGGAATTGTAAATTCAATTCTCATAGTACTAGTGGTAGTAGAAGTATTAGCAGTAATGGAGAAGATGTGGGTTCGAAGATATGACGCAAGAAGTATAAACCAGTGAAATAAATGTAAAAAAAGATAAGAGGTCCCAAATAATTCAGAAGATCAGAATTTCATAGAAGAAAAAGAATGGATGCACCTGCGCCACTGCAGACGATTTTGAGCCGTGTCATTCAAAGTCTCTGACCACAGGTTTCAATCGTCTCGCGGACCCCAACCAGGTGATCAGCACCTACCAACATGGCTTGTACACTTGTGCTATATTTTGGTTTGGCCGCCCCCTGTTCTCTTCCAGCCTACCCCACACCACAAAACATTGTTCGTTGAGGCAGTCCGAACTACCTCAAATGATGAAGTTTGACTACTTCATCTATCGGTCTGACATGCCTACCTAGTACTCGTTTCCTAAAGACAGCATTGCTTACTCGGCTGTCCCAGGATATTCGAGCAATGCATCGAAGACACTGATGATCGAATACAAATAGCCTATGAAAGTCCTCTACTCTAACTGGCTGTTTCATAGCCATAGTGTAGGACAGAGTGAACTGCTTCGAAATTCCAAGTAATTGTATTCAATTATTCAAGTTTTCGTGAATGCAAAGCCGTTGCAAATACCCAACTACTGGGAAACTGTTCATTCAAATGTTGGCCAAAGTCCAAAATATGGTACAAATAGTTGTTTCAATAGTGATAAAAAATGGTTCTCATCAGTAAGAGGAAATTCTGGAACTTCAAATTACTAGTCTATAGACAAAAACAGAATAAGAAATACATCTAATCGAAAAGATTATTTATTTTTATTCACTAGGCAACACACTTAATTTGTTAATTCTTCATTTGACTATTTTTATCCTAAGAATTTCGTACAATATATGCAAATTATTATCTTTTTTCCGCAGATTATATTCCTCATTTATGTATATATATATATATATATATATATATATATATATATATATATATATATATATATATATATATATATATATATATCATCTCATGAATAATTCTATTGAATTAATTAGTTGTCTTTTACCAGTTGAATTAATTGGGAAGTTCAGTCGTTAAAAATGATTCAGGTAAACTACGTAATCACCCTAAATACATGACCTAATAAACTATTTTGTTATAATGATACTTAAGTTTACAACAATATACAGATAAAGAGACAGATGAGACGCAAAGGCTTCATTAGTTAAAATCACCTCTCATTTGAATGTGAATTTTGTGGGTTTGGAAATATAAAGATTCACCAGACATTTTTGAGAAATGCCAAAGATTTTTCTATTGCATAGGTCAAAACAAAGTATAAGCCATAAAAAGGCGGAACTTAACATTTTCTAAAGACAAAATGTTGGCACGTTTTCTGTGCAACTTTAAGTCTATTCTTGTTTCTGACATTAAGCTAAATAAAGCATCATTTTACTTCAAGCGAATCGGGTGAAGCACACAAAGCATCGGACAGCTAGGATGCAGCCGGATGACCTAGACTTCGCAGTTGATCTGGCTCTTTTATCCCACATCAGTCAACAAACTCAGGAGAAGATGACTTATTTAGCAGCAGCCTCTGCAGTAGTAGGTCTCAACATACATAACAGAAAAAGGAAGATCCTAAAATACTATATAACGAGTGCAAACCAAATCACACTTGACGGAAAAGCTTTTGAAAATGTCAATACCTTTACATATCTAGACAGCATCATTGATAAAAAAGGCCAGTCTGATGCCGATGTAAAGACGGGCAGCACTTCTACAATTAAAAAACATCTGGAACTCAGAACAACTGTCAACCAACACCAATATCGGAATTTTCAATACAGATATCAAGATAGCTCTACTGTATGGGGTGGAAACTTGAAGCCATCACTCGGAAGATAGAAGTGCTCATTAGCAGTTGTCTCAGCAAAATACTTCGTATCCCCTGGTTAGACACGATCAGTAACAACCTACTGTGGAATAGAATAAACCAGCGGTGGCAGAAATCAAGAAGTAGCATCAGAGATGCGTGGGTCACACATTGAGGAAAGCGCACAACTATTTCACAAGACAAGGCCTCACTTGGAATCCCCACGACCAAAGGAAAAGAGGAAGACCAAAAGTAAATTATGCCGAGAAATGGAGAGAGAAATGAATAATATGAACGGCAGTAGGATAGAGATGGAAAAAAAGGCCCAGAACAGAGTAGTTTGGAGAATGCTGGTCGGCTGCCTATGCTCTATCTGGGATACAAGGAATAAGTAAGAAGGTAAGCGAGACAGTAGAGATGGACGAATTTCCTCATTTCATTCGACTTTATTTAAAGAACCGTCTAGTTATATTATACGTTTATCCGTTTCTATCCTTAAGCGGTTTAATTGAGTAGGATGAAAAAATCTCATCGACGAAAAGAATTCACAACAGGAAAAAACAAAAAAACTGCTATGGACAAGCTGATCAGTAAATGATATTAAACGATGTTAACTTTTATGCATTTATTTGCCTTAGGTTTGTTACTTCATCTTTATGTAGATAGAATGTTCTGAAGATATTTCCCAATGTTTCATTTCAAAAGAATATTTGATTTTCGAAGCTAACCTATTTAACAAAGTATCCTTTAAATTGTTGAATGCTTTTACAGATTATGCAGAAACTTCTCATGATCAGAATAATCATTTAAATCAATCCAGATCTGCATATAATCTCAATAGACTATCAAATGTTGTGAATCAGAAATGCCATGATCCCAATGATATAGTATATCCCAACTATTCTGCTACGATGAGACCATCCGTAAGTCGTCGCACAGGACGTTCATCTACGCCAGCAGTACCTTATACAACAAATGAATCCTTCAAACCAACTAATGGTAATGACCGACACAGTACATATCATCCAAGTTTAGATCCAGGATGGATATCTCAAACAAATGAAAGTGGCTCAGAAACAGCATCTATTTTTAGTGTTAGCTCGTCCATGCGGAGTAAGTTGATTGTTGTTTTATCCATGTTTCTAAATAAAATAACTTAAACGACAAATATATAAAAACATTCGATAATCTAGTCAGTGTAGTTTCCGTTACTTAACCAGATATATGAGAGACAATCAGATGGCGAACAGAACTGATTCAGTTGAATGTGGTAAATTAGCCAGTCAAACTCTAATCTCAAGAATTTGTTCAATTTGTTTAGTATATCTGTAGAAGTATTACGTCAGTGTATAGAAAATGACTAGTTTTCCTCAAAGCAGCTTGCTCGAAAATGTTTTCCTTTCAAGTTAATTAACTAGAGTAGACGATTTGATTTTGTTTACGAGTTGGTTTATTCCATGAAGTTGTCAACATGTTATTCAGATAGATTGAAATCTACCTTTTCAGAACAAACTAATTACTTTTATTAGGTCTTCTTAAACCACCTTTATTTATTAAGCATATATTTATTTATATTTACTATGGAACAACTACTTACTTTATAAAGTAGTCGTTAATTTGACAATCATAAATCAAATGAGAAACTGATCAAATTATGATACATTGAAACATTACAGATCGATAAGTTACTTAATCAAAGAAAAACCAATTCATTCTGCAAAGTATAATAAACGTTAACCTATTGGAAATCAATGTTCTTCTTGTTTTGCTTTATTAATGAGATGTATCTTTGAAATAACAGAGTGCTTTGCCAAAAATAAAAATTTTCAAAGAAACTATGTGACCCATACTTATCATTCAGTTGTGATGTTATGAAAAACAAAACAACAGTGGAATTCAGATGACGTCACCAGCAAGATTCTGTTGGCCAACCGTTACTTAGTTAGTGTCAGTTACTTTCATTGACATATATATATATATATATATATATATATATATATATATATATATATATGACAACGGTGATAAGTCCAAGCTAACCTGACGAAAAAAATTGATTTACTCCTGACCATTTTGTATCAAAGCCTTTGTATGATTATGAATGCCATAAACTGTAAGAATTCATTTTATTCTCAATAAATTGTCATTTGGATTATTTAAAGAAATTACTCATTGATCTATTATGACCGTTTTTATTCACTTATGTTTGTAAACCCTAGATAATCTTACATTTTTACAAAATAATACTTAATTATTAAAAATAAGCAGACAAGTGGAATTACCCATTTTACCTGCTTGTCCCGACAGCACATAAAATGTTGGATCGATTAGTATACACTAACTAATCTACCAATAGGTGAGAATTAGCTTACGCATACTACCAAATCGATCTTAATTAGTTCAGCTTCGGTGAATCATAAAGCATTGCTTTATCAACTAAGTTTCATCTCAGTGTTTTAAATTTTGTTTATCATATATTTTTAATGTGTTGGATACGACAAATCGTGATTAGAAAATCCATACATCATGTAAATATAGATATATATACAAATATACTTGTCACATAAATTCGGTTCAGTTATATCTGTGCTAATATGAACAGCTTTAATGTTTATACTTGTTTGAACTTGCTTCAATTTTGAAGCATAAAGCTATAAACCGGACTCATAATTTTTAAACAAAATACAAAAACAGAATTGTCTTTTCCATGCATTGTGAGCCAGAGAGGTTATTGATAGAAAACATGTGTGTTATTCAATAACTAACTAATGAAAGTTGTTACATGAACTTATGTGATTATCGATCACAATTTATAGTTATTACACGAAATTACCAGAATAATTTAATTTATATGCGCTGAATAGAGTATCGATAGATGAGTTTGTGTTTGTATGCTGGCCTATATAACAATTAACTTAAATTCGGGTCATTTGATTTGAAAAAACAGCATCGTTTGCTTTTGTATGGAGTTTTATACTTTTTTTTTTAGAGTAATGAGAAATTCAGCTGCTAAAGAATATTTGTTGTTACACTATCATATTTTTCAAATTTTGACTAGTTTTTATGCAAAGAACAGCTTTGATTATTGTTAAGATATAATTACTGAACAAGAGTTTAAAGTATTGAGTCATTTTGATTGAACAATTGATGTATTTTATTCAAAGGTAAATATTCTATTGTCAATAAGAGAAACCTTAAATAATCAAATAAAAAACCGGATATTTGATAATTTTCTTCTTTCAGTGTATAATATCATGAGTTATTGAGCTCATTTTAAAAGAATCGAAAAAATTAAATCTTTATAACAAGCTAATCTGTTATCAGTAGTGAACTTTCATTTAAATCCGTGGTGGAAAAATGAAGTAGATTTTTGACAGTCCTTCACCCTTTTGTGCACTTGTATTCATAGTTCTCATTCAAAATATTAACAGAACACGACATTCAGCAAAGAAATGTCTCAGTCATTATATTATTATCAGGCTCTTCCGTCCAGTCACCAATGTGTTAATTTTAAAGGTGGTTTATCTCATTTGTCCGAACCCGCTAACACCATTATGGTTTACCGTGCGTGAAATAATATTGTGTATGAAATGAATATGTCTTATTTTCATTACATTGAATTGATTTTACATGTGAAATTGTCCATTTTTCTCTCTAAATATTTATCTGACCATGAATTTACTCTTAATCGTTTCTGACATCAATTCGTTTCATTTAATCTCACTTATAATTGTAAACAAAATATTTTCATAATCCTTATTAAGTTCACATTCTAATCCGATATCAGTATATTCATTTTATGATTTTTCATAATGGAATTATGCAGATTTTTGTTTTACATTGAAATCGTGAAATCGCAAACCAATGTAATAAAACAATCTCCAAAATTCTATGTTGAAAAATCGTACAATACTCTCACTAGTGATTGGATCCGTGGAAAAATTCTCGGAGTTCCAATGCGAAGCTTTGACCAAAAAAGTTCAAAATTGTCGGGTGTAGGCAGTAACTAACGAAGACAATAGGTGAGGTTACGGAATATCAGGAATTGATTGAAGTCTCACATTAACACCATTAGTGCTGGCTCAGTGATTCAGAGATTAAGCGTTCGCGTGCAAGATCGAAGGTCCTGGGTTCGAATCCTGCGAGTAGCAGGATTTGTGAATGTACACCGCTGATAAGTCTCATACTAGGACGAATCCACCGTCTAATGCTTCCAGGATTCCAGTGGGAGTTTAATAATGATTAATTCACGATTTCGATGTGAAATATTCATTTTACCCATCATTTGGTTTGCGTATATGTAGTAAAATTTACGCATCCCTTTACTGATATTAGTTATGTTATATATATATATATATATATATATATATATATATATATATATATATATATATATATATATATAACGTACAGTTTGATAACACACTTGTTCATAAAAGATCCATTCCCTGAATTACGCTTCTATGGTCTTTATATTTCATCACAGAGTACTAAAAACATTTTTGGTAGTAGTACTTTAAAATTCATTATTCTTTTTTTACGGTGCTTGCTTCAAGTGTTTCAGTGAATTTTGATGCATCACCTATTCACTGTTGTACTAATAAATAACACACTTTGAATATAATTGCTGACAAAATACTTTAAAAGCATGTAAATATTTTGGAAAGACTGGAAATAAAATAATTCATTTTTCTACATTTTCTACATTTGAGTCACATTGTCTGTGTGTAATGGCTGGTTAAACTATCTATCTATTCTAAACTAATCGACTTTGGTATACCAGTTCGTTTCTGTTTCCGACTGATTTAATGCTAAGTGCTGTAGCCACTAAACCAATGTAAACACAATATATCTCATTATTTAGTTACCTCAAATAACTTCTATTTATTGATTTTGTCAATCTATTCTAATCATCAACCTAAGCTTAATCATCTTAGGGAATTCTTTATTTAAAGAAATAGAAGACTAAATAAATCATATAGGTTAATGCTATTAAGTAAGTACATGTAACAAGCTGTTCTCTTGGTATCGTTACAAACACTTGTAATTAATCTCGTTCATTGATAGGATTCTTCTATGTTATAAACGGCTGATTACAGTCTATCATATTATTTTCTTATGTAATCAGTTGTGCATTTAAAGTCTTAGTTTATCATTTTAACACTTAAAATCTATTGAAATTAGTGGGTAGATTACTAAACAGCTTACAAAATATCGGTATAAATATTTTGTAAATGTAAGTTCTTCAATTACTCCACATTTAGTGCTGTTTCTGATGAAAACGTTATCATGTTACAAATGGAATATTCTCGAAAAGAACATATATACGCACAATAGTAAGCAATCAGCCTTCAGTCCCCACTTTTAGTCCGTAAAGTTTGCACTAAAACATAATTTTGGTTGGTATTAACTCTTTATTCAGAGAACAGTCTGAATACTACAGTGGTAATGTTTGTGTATATGAGATTGTGCTGCACCTATTCCTTCAGAAGCATAGGTTTCCTAATGTTTGCAGATGAGGTTTACTGAAGATTCCAAACTGGTAAAAACCTGGGTTTAAAGGGTCTAGCTAATTATATCTACCCGCTGAAACGTTACATAAAGTGCATTCAACTATATAGTCATTTTAATTCAGTTAATTCAAACATTTTGCTATTTACCTTAGATATGTTTGGTATCATTGAGGCGTTGTGCACTTTAAGGCAAGAATAGGTTCACTTGTGTAGTCAGTTGCTAATCATGTATGAAACCCCTTCTTATTTGCTAATACCCTCGTTCCTGATCTAATAGGTCTCCGGTTTGCCGCAAGATCTTACACTTATGGTTTACGAAATCACCTACACAAGTGGTGTTCTTCAAAGAGTTTTCTTATTACTCATTTTGCTGCTGATTCCGATTTCATACAACGATATCAAATTAGCGTTGAAGTAACCCAGTTTGATTGTTCACAGTTTAATGCATAAAAAACCAACAAGGATATGTTTTGTATAAAGGAAGAAACAAAGAGATGATTTATTTACTACAGAACTGATTTTGAGTAGAAGACAGTCATGGTGTTAGCAAAGCTGAAAATAAGTTGATCTAGATAATAATGAAATTTGAGAACTAGTTTAGTTTATTATTTGCTAAAAATAAATGAAGGACTCTATCAAAAAACAATTAAATGGATGTTGGAAAAGGATACATAGGTTGGAATTAAAAGTTGAATATCCTAAACGACAATTTGTAAATTTATGTAAAAATTTAAGTAAAAAAATGCTAAAATAATTTCATGAAAATTATTAAATCTATACTTACATATGCCTGTTACCCCCGATCGAGCATAGGCCGCCCACCAGTATTCCCCGACCTACTCTGTTCTGGGCCTCCCTTTCAAGTTCTGTCAAATTTTTGTTGATTCTTCCTACATATTTCTCTGTTTCTCGGCGTAATTTGTTCTTTGGCCTTCCTGTTTTACTTATACCTTTAGAGTCTCAAGTGAGCACTTGTCTTGTGATGCAGCTGGATGTTTTCCACAATGTGTGTCCTATCCACTTCCACCACTTCTTCCTGATTTCTTCCTCTACTGGATTCTCATTTGTTCTCTCCCACAGTAGGTTGTTGCTGATGTTGTCTGGCCAACGGACCCGAAGTATTTTTCCTAGATAACTGTTAGTAGACACTTGTATCTTCTAAATGATGGCTTTCGTAGTTATCCAAGTTTCTGCCCCATACAGCAGGACAGTCTTGACATTTGTAATGAAAATCCTTACTTTGGTGTTGGTTGATATTTGTTAGTAGAAATGAAGCCCTTGTTTTGCCGATCCGCGCCCCTACATCTGCATCAGATCAACCTTGATTGTCGATGGTGCTGCCAAGATATATAAAGGTGTCAACGTCCTCTAAGCCATCTTTATCAAGTTTGATTTGGTTGGCGCATAATGTGATGTATCGAAGAATCTTGCTTTATCTTTTATGTATGTTGAGACTTACTGCTGCAGAGGATGCTGCTACACTGGTCGTCTTCTCTTGCATTTGTTGTTGTGTGCGATAGAAGAGCCAGATTATCTCTGATGTCTAAATCGTCCAACTGTATCGTGGCTGTCCGTTGTATGCCGTGCTTCCCTCCAGCTGTTGATGTCTGCATAATCCCGTTGATAACCAGGATAAATACAAAGTGTGCAACTAAGCAAACTTGTCTGACACCGGTCTTCACTTCGAATGATTCGGTCAGCTGTCCTCCGTGCATGATTTCGCGGTTAAATTCATCATGAGAATTCCGTATGACGTTGACTATCTTCTCAGGCACGCCGTATTGTCAGAGAAGCAAGCCTCCATCGTGTTGTCCTACCCAAACTATCAAATGGTTTATCGAAGTCAATGAAAATGATGTACAGTGGTGAGTTCCATTCAATTGATTGCTCCACAATGATCCTTAATGTTGCAATTTGTTCGCTACACGATCGATCCTTACGAAATCCACCATGTTGATCTCGAATTTGGGCGTCTATGAAATCCTTCATTCTGTTTAGCAGTACCCTGTTGAAGTTTTTGCCTGGTATTGAAAGAAAAGTGACGATGATGTAGTTCTCACACTTGCTGAGATCGCCTTTCTTTGGTATTTTGATCAGGTATCCTTTTTCCCAGTCTGTGGTACATGTTTTCGCAGTTGCTTCCACGTCTGTTTTCATTGCCTCAGCTGGGATGCTATCTGGTCTCGTTGCTTTGCCGCTCTTGATATTTTAGATGACCATGCTGATCTCTTCAATTGTTGGTGGGCCAACATCGATTGGGAGGTGCGTGGATGCTGCTTCGATGTTGGGTGGATTGACTGGCAAGAAACTCGAAACCTAGGTTTATTACTAGTTGGAGTACCTATATCTTCGAGAAGTGGTGCTCTTTAAGGGACCCTAGCCTGCGTTTCACACTATGAAGCTGACTATCTCTAACTACATATCACCAAAACATAGTATATACAATGTGATTACATTAATGATCGCTTTACAGTTTGCTTGATAATATTCTGTCAGCAATATGAGCGAGACACAAGTAACGTCAGTTAACGGTGTTCATTCAAAGTAGGAATACTCGAGCCAGCACATAGTAAGGTATCATTAATCATGTGTTAAGAAATTTTCATTTTCAACCCACTTACTTGATAATGTTAAAATACATTTATTGCTAACTTTCACTCTGTACGATTGTACACCTTAAAAAAATTTTTTGGACACGATAATAATTTCATTAAGTCTACTTGTGGTGTTATCTAAAGTAGTTTTAGTAAATAAGTCTGCATACATCTAATTATATGAATGCATTCCTTTTTCATGCTCTAATTAAACTGGTTTTTCAGCACACTGTTCAATTATGACTATTAACCAATGTGTTTTAAGCTGAAAAATTTCACTAGAGTATATAACATAGTTGGTCAACTATAACAGTGTATACATTCTAAAACAAACTTGAAACTTTATCATATTTACACATACTCAAAACTATTTCAGTTTGGATTTCTGTAGTTTTAAAATAACTGATTTTTTCAATGAAGAAAAGTGTACAGTGTTCAAGAGACAAGTCAACTATGAAGGTGCATTTCGACGATTCACCAATATTGTTAGGTGATATGCTTGGTATGTTGCAAATATGTATATTTTTTCCAACAGAAGAGATTGTCATGTATTAGATTAATCTAGCGAATTTCTAAATGCTTAAATACATATTCACAACTAAAATTTTCGGTGTAGAAAACTGATATATACAGTTCAATTCATTAATGTATTATGAAATTAGACAATCATTTATGTTGTGATTATTTATTAATTCTAAACACATATTTTACTAAATCAGTCTTTAAATGAAATGTCTATGTAGAAATATTAAATGGAAATAACGATGCTGAATATACACGGTACATTATTATTTGATGCCATAAGTTGTTATTACGGGGTTGTGAAGATTGTTAAGTTACACATTTTTTGAAACCATGAATCAATCAATGTTAGACCACCATTAGAAACCTGGAAGCACTGGACGGCTGTTTCGTCCTGGTATGGGACTCCTCCGATGGTTAGGAGTTCGCGCACAATGCCGAAGGTCCTGGGTTCGAATCCTGCGGGGTGCAGGAGTCGTGGATGCGCACTGCTGAGGAGTCCCATAACAGGACGAAACGGCCGTCCAGTGCTTCCAGGTTTCTAATGGTGTTCTAACATTGATCGATTCATGGTTTCAAAAAAATAAGTTGTTATAACATGATTCATTATTGAAAAACTGTCAGAAAAGTAATCTTAAAAAAAAATGCTATCAACTCATTGTTCATATTAATTGTAACATAGCACCTTTAATCAGTAGTCAGTAGACTAAGTAAACTAGGATTAATTCGACTGACAAATTTTCTAATGTTTCGTGGATTAATTGTGTTCGCATTTATTGAACAACAAGATGTATATTTATAAATTTATTTAATTTCAACATCATCCATGGACAATGAATGTTACTTTTAAGTGACTGAAATAGGCTGGTATTTTTAATAAGCAGTTTTAATCATAATGTCAAACTGTTGTATCATATATTTATTTATTTTTTTCCATCTGTAAAATCTCTACTGATAGTACACATTCTGTTTAGTGTATCTGATAAAGAAATTGACGTTTCTTGACTTTAACTTGACTAGCAGGAATGTTTTACGCAGTGACTGGTCTGGATCACCTCAAATCTTGTTGTATATGTTGATATGCATTATATGAGTGGACTATTTCAGCTCAAGAATTTCTCAGAATGATGTTTTAGAAAATGTAATTGAATATTTGTGATATTTTGAGTTTCCACGTTGCTGACAGTGAGAACTGCATCCTGAACGGATTACTTTGTAATTACTTTTAATTGCACGTTTTAGTTAAATTAAAATACTTCTACCAGTGGAGTTTAAGATGTGCATTTAATAAAACATCGTATCTCTGTCTTCGAAGCCACACAGATAAATAGACGAAGACTTGCAATCCAAGTGGATAGTTTTTGGTGTAGTTGCACTCTCTGGACTAAATGGTTTAATTGCACAAATTTCAATGTCATTTTAAACAATATCTTTACGGCCTACTTCATGAAAATGGGAGTTTATTTATTGTGGTGCCAGTATTATATAAGTTCATTGCGATGGACTAGCAGTCACATCAAAATACATTCAGTTTATGAAACTCAGCTGAAGAGGTCAGTCAATCATCACATGGCCAGAGGTTGGTTAACCAACAAAGACAACAAATGAGTATTCGTGAACAAGGGAAAACATTAAAAATTTATGAAGATATACAATTACAAACAAATCAGATTTACTGCATATAGAAATGAGCGCTAAGTCCTAATTTGTCATTGCCTTTTGATTCGACAGATGTTCTGTTCGTTTTGAATTGTTTACAAATATGTTTGAATGATGCAATTTTAACGTTAATGAAATCTGCAAATGTTTTACAGCCTTATATGTCACCTTGAATAAATAATGATATCTGTATTGCAAAAAAGAAAATATCTATGTCGATTTATTATAAGCTAATCAAACATGCTAGTATGCCATTGTTCAAACTGTAGTCGAAGTTATTTTGTTTATGTTTCTGTAGATCCACAATATGACAATGGATACACGATTCCATTAGATTAAATAATCACATTCGTGCAAATCTGAACTGAACTCGACTAACCATTCAATCATACTACCGTTATATCACATCGTAATGCAAATAAAACAGGTTAAACAGTAGCATATCACCTGTACGATTGATCATTTGAGTTACACTGATAATTTTTTTTTACAAGTTTTCTCAAGTCAAGATGTTTATATGAACATATTTATGCTGCTGATCTAGTTCAACTCATTTTCTGATAGAAATTTGGTGAAAAAAATTGTTTTCGTTTGCCTGTCAATGTTTCGTTTACATTGGTTTCATTAATTTCTGAAACATTTCTTTATAGCTCCATCTACGAATAGTGTCAAAAATGGATCAGCGATCTTACAACTGTTATTGGGAAACCGTGATAGTATTGCGTAAGTTTGTGTTTTAAAATGACCATTGGTACTTTAGAGTAAATCTTAGCTATTTATTCCACTTATTTTGATATTCATATTATTATGAAAAGTCAAAGAATTCTTTTGTAATTGATGAACTTACAATCATCTTAATAATTCAAGAAGTGGTTTCATCTGATTCAATATTAGCTTGGATTCTTTGTTAACAAGAACAGAGTGTAATAGGGCTAAAATTAATTCTACACGGTTAAATGTATGAATATTATTTCAAAAAATAATCCAGTAATCAGTCCTCTGTTGCTATCTGGTTAGATAGTGCTAGAATTCCAGAATGTTAATATATACAGACTGATACAACTTTACTTATTTACTCATTTACGCCTGTTAGCCCTAATTTAGCATGCTGCAACCTACTCTGTCCCGGGACTTCCTTTCCACTTCTAACCAATGGCTGCTCATTCTTTTGATATCTGCTTTAATATTCCATGTACCCACATAATTGTTGCTCTGGTTGTCAAAAGGGGCATCAGCCTTTGCGACTTTCGAAGAAACTCGACTTGCATCATGAGGCGTCACAACTCTTCTAAATGAAGACCTTCCAACTACTATAGCAAAGTTTACATGGTTTGAATGATTTGTTCTAGTTAGCGTTTTTTAGCATGCCGGTTTTCTACGGAATGGAACCGCTAACCTCATGCCTAACCCTCCTCTACTATCCATGCTTCGGACTGGTAGTAACCTTAAAAGGGCTCCAGTTTATAGACACCAACGTGAATAGATCAAATTAGAATATAACATATTTTTGTTGCAGTAAGCTGATATGTTGATTATCACGCGAATAAATTGGCTAATTAGTCAAATACACAGAAAAATCTCATAATGTAAGTAGTTCACTTCAGTTAGACTTCAATCAGTGGTTCACATGAATAAACGTTTGTAAGAAAACCATAGTGTTAGAAAAAATTACCTTTTTAGAATAGTTACTTGCTATGTGTTAGACAAGATTAAACATGGTTTGGTCGGCATCATAACCTACAATGAGTCATCTGATTGTTTTGATGTTTTATTAGACTATGTACTTTTTTTCTATGAATGATAAGGTTCAACCTATGATGTATACAAAATAATTGCCAAGTAAATGTGATATAGTTTATCCATTGTTTGCACTTTTTATTGCACAGAAATGAATAAATTTTTTTCTAGATTGCTCAAACTCTAGGGGCACCAATAACTTACTACTAATTTACGTAGGCCGGCAACCCCTCATAGGTAGGTAACAGAATGTTGGCCAAGAATCTTCAACCAAGTTTGTCTGGGATTCTCCTTCCTAGTTGTTACCATGCCTCATCCGTTCGTTTTATTTTTTCTTCATTTTCCTTTTGCCTTGAAGATTCCAAGTTTCTACTTGCCTTGTTATGCAGTCCTATGACTTACACTTTTAAAGTAACTTTTCCTGATATTTTCTCAAGCTGGAAGTTGGTTTGTTCTCTACTAATGCTCATGGACAGTGGACAATAGATCTTCAGTGTATTGCATAGACTAGTTGAATAATAAATCTCTGGGATAAATTTTTCCTGGTTCCTATAAGTTATGATTAAGAAAAGCATTAGTTAGAGATCAGATTGTAAGTTTCAGCATTTATTGAGACATTACTAATGCGGAGCAACTTAATTAAATTACAAAATCAATGTATCAATATTTATTTGGACTCAATACACAGTAAGAAACATTTTATGAGTTATACTGGACTAAAAGATACTGAATTTAACCAATGACTGATACTGAATTGACAATTTTTTAAATGAATTCAAACCAGTTTCTACAAGATGATTGTTCACTTAAAATGTCAAGATGAGCTTCATTATTCTGTACATATTGCAATATAAATCTTTTGAACATTTCTAAGAATAACTTTGAAGTATCACTGGTGGAAAATGATAGAAAATTCTAGTCGTTAGGCATATAATATCAGCTTTCAAAGTAAACATATGAAGATAGCGTTTCTCGTGATCATTACACGGAATGATTGTGAACATAGATTGAAGGACTCTATTCACTTATGCCAGCAACTGATAGTAATTTAGTATGCTCTAGCTCTTTGAGGAGTCATCGTTTAATGATTTCACAATCAAAAATAATGTCTATTGTTGAAGCTAGAGTAAAATAAAGTATATTTTATTTAATATACAGTACTATTAAGTATTTTGCCAATTTCACTTTAAGTGATTATGCTTCGTGCAAATGTGGACTCGTTATTGTTAAGAAATTAATTGTAAATGGTCAAAGATAAGTATTAGTTATTTTATAAATAATTATTACAAACGAATAAAATGATCTTTCGATTTATTTGAGCTACGTGACATATTGATCGAAACTCCGATTGCTTACAATGGATGAAGATCACTTTGTAAAGCATGTTAATCAGGATTTATCAAGAAACTAATTATTTTCAAGCTAATCCAGTAAAGATGTCGTTATCGTTTCCAGACATTATAATCTTGACTTTATTTGTGGTCTGTTTGTTATCGCTAATAACACAGAACTCACACTTGTCAAATACATGTAAGCTGTCCTGCAACTGTAATTACATGTCTCATCATTGAATCGACTTCCAGAAGTGAACAGATCATTATGTTTTTGTACATACTCTGATCAATGAGTTATTGGGACTACATTTTAAGGATCTGTTTCATGATAACTAATCGTTGTATCTATTATTTCTCATTTGAATTATATCCGTTATTTAGTTGAATTCAATTGAACTAGGAGACTTTAATTAAATCATTTTATTCCTAAGGGTCTATGCGACTTAGTTTTAAGTCCTATTTCTAGCCTTAATCCACTGACTATAACTGATTATAAAGACGTTTTGGAAACTAAATAACTAAATATAATGAACAAGCACAAACCTATTCCTGTACCGAAGTGAGTTGATCGATTTGATTTACAAAATGAATAACGACTAAGACAATGCAACTAATTTCGTTAGTACTTGGATCGTCAGGGTGATTATACGTAATTATTTCATATGATATGATAAAAATCCAAAACATATTCCATACATTGCTAAATAATCAGTAGTTGTTTAGTCTATAGTATACGTAATAAACATATGGTGTTTGATGGATTTCGATGAATTTGTTTTGGTATTACTAGTAACTTGACGTATGTAAATTGCCGATCTTTTTGAACGGTAATACATGTATATATATCATTATCGTCATCAAACCAAATACGTGCACTCCTTATCAATAATTGAATTAAGTACAGGCATATGAGTTGATATTTATGCATTGAACACACCTGTTTGTATTCAATAATCAAACTACACTCTGTAAAAAATACCATAGAATAAATTAAATTAACACACTGTATAAACAACAACAAAATAACGTTGCTTAGATTTCAGTTCAATTCAGTTATCACTTTGAGTCACTGATATCGACATACATGGGATGAGATTCCGATTCATTTTAATGCTAATTTACAAAATGAATTCAAACAACATCCTTTCTGCCTTTCTAATTGCTCAAAGTTTTTGTGATTGAACTTGGAAATATTTATTAACAATCATATAAATGAGTTGAACATTTTTGGGTACTTTTGTTTTGCGTTATTTTATGGAAATTCATTAGTTATATCCAGGCAAAGTTCGGAATATTTAGTGTGATAAATCTACTAAGTTACCGATTGCTAGGTAAGAGATCATCTAAATTCGCATGCATAGAACATGAAAGAAAAGGAAGGCAGGGAAAATGCTTCAACTTGGAGTTTTTTGGCCATAATTCATGATAAATAATCGACTACCTTTTGTCATTAGTAAATGACTCTGTAAGAATATTAGTGCAGTGTGCAATAAACAATCTCATATTTTGGTGAGAGGTTTCCGCATTTAAAATTCGTTGATAATTTCTTTTAAAAGATCAGTTACTTTTTGTTTTAGTTTCAGTTATTTTTATTTTGATCAACTTTGCGACAGAACTCTATTCGTTAATTCCTTCGACGTCTTTGGTCATATATTTTAGAATTATTTCAACATCTCAAGTTCAATTTGCAATAATTCCACCTTTTACTGTAATTTTCAAGCCATACTTATACGTGTTTAGTTTTGCCTTTGTGTATAATTAAGTCTTCTTGGACTTCTGTTTTTAAACAGGGATTTGGATACCACAAACTTGCCTAGAATGATCGCACTTCAAAGAGGTCCCAATGGTTTTGGATTTGTTGTACGCGGTAAAAAAGGTGGGCAAATGATTGAATAAGAATTAATTTGCATTGTTTTACTCTTTTTAACAATATGACAGCCATCTTAGTGTTTTCACTGTGTGCTGTGTGTATCAGTGCTTTTGGTGGTAAATTTATATATTTGTTTATTGAATAACTTCTGTTTTAACCCTACTAACTAGATATACTGTTTGATACTCAAAACATACACTTGCTAACAATCTTCTCACTGTTAACTTCATTAAGGTGGTATTAGAGTTTGTCCATGATATCTGATATCTTAATTTCTGTGGTTCTCTGCGCGTTTTATCATTCAGGAATAAAAATAAACGGATAATGTTTCTAGACACCACGGTGGGATTCGCTTTTCTCATTAGTTTGTTCGTATTGTTACCTCTAAAGGCAAGATAACGTTAATAATGATTGCCATTAGAACAAACATTCTTTTGATATAATCACACATAGTACATAATAGAATATATGTTGACTAGTTCAGGTGAGGCGTTGCCCATTAGTTTTTTTTTACCATAAAACCTTAGTCTTCATGAGTCATATTTATATGTGGGCGTAACCTCTTTTAGAAAAATACCTTTGTAGGTCATACAATCAATAATTTGTTAGTAATGCAACTAATAGTTATCTTGTGTAAGTCATTAAGTTTTTATAATGTAGATAATATGCCCCATAAAAATGTGTGTTCACTGTGACACTACTATTGATGATTCGCATTCAATTTTTAAAAGTTTAAGAATACTATTTGAGTTTTATTTTCCTAATAAAACACCTAAGCTTTTGCCTCATTGTTAGCAACGTATCACATGAACTAACATGAAAAAATTGATCATATGTGACCTCTAACTAAATAACAACAAAGTTGGTCTTTTTTGTGGGGAAACGAACTGATTTTATCTTAACCTGAATTTGAGCACTATTCAGAAAACAATGGCAAAATTTGATTTAAATTTATTTACTCTTTACTCATGGGATGAGAATTACATTTGTTATTTTTGTACTGAATTAAATTTTATGTTATAGAATTACGAAAATTATTAGATTGTGTAGAAACCAATGTCCGACTGTATCATCTTTCATAGTAATAAGTTGTAAATTCTTGGCATGATTCAATGTTTCAAATTCATTTATCTAACAAAGTAATTAAAAAGGTGATTGCATTCAAAGAGCTTATTCTGTCATAAGTTAATGCAAGTGATATAGAAAGTAAATACCTCCTATAAGTATAAAGCTGGAGCATCAAACCTTCAACCTCGAAATCATTTTCTTCAATCTACACAGTTATCAAGCTACTACATATGTTACTTGAAAATACATTGTATGTTGAGGTATACAAAAAAAAAATTTTGATTGATCTAGCCTATGAAACAAACTCGAAATCGTGTATTTACACATTGACTACTTTTGAACAGATGATTTTCTTGAAGGTCTCTTTATTTTCATAAAACCTAACAGTACCATTTCGTTTTTTTTAAAAATTAATGTGAATTAAGTGAATTTACTAGAATTATTCTGCCAGTGTTTTCAATGTACACTGTCATTGGTAAACTCTGAATATTGTGCAATAATTTCCGGCTTTTTCGAACAGGAATATCTGAAAATTTTACACCGCGTCTTGAGTGTCCAGCCTCACAATACCTTGAAAAAGTTGAGCCACATAGTGCAGCGAGTAGAGCAGGTTTGAAAGCTGGTGATTTCATATTGGAGGTAAGTGAAATTTTCAAAAAATGTTATTAGATGTTAAACATGTGGTTAGACCAATCGTTAGCAGCTATTGAGCATTAGTTTTTTACTTACTTATCAAATAAACATACCTTAACTGATATCAATCGGTATTTAGTGCATTGGTCCATTCATTTAATTTCTCTAGAACTAATCAACTGTAGAGACCTGCTTCTACTCAGACGATGAAAACAGATGAAAGAATAATAATTGATGTAACAAACAAGAAGCTAAATAATGATAGAACTGATTTTCAGGTAGTTTTAAAGAATAAAAAACACTAAAGCAAATTAAAAGCCGTTAAGATAACGGTGCACAGATTATCTTTTTTTGTCAATTGACATTATCATGTTTCTCATATTCGTCGAGTGTTTATTGAGGCCGTTGCTGGAATAGCGAAAAATGTAAAATATGATTTTTTGTCCTGAGTCTGAATAGTCATAGACCTGATCATCAATGTTACTTAAGACTATAAGAGCATTAAACAAAAAACAGATTTGAATTGATTTTTTGAATTAATTTATTTTCATCACAGGATTATCTAAGAAATGTTTGGCAAACTTAACGAAGTTGGGATAACTCTCAGCAATAGGTTCCAAGTCTTTCACGATATACTCAATGGAGAGGAAACTACGATGGAGAACAACTGGGAAGGGATCAAGGAAGAAATAACTTCAGCATATCACGAAGTTCTGGTACACAAGACAAAAGGAAGAACAGGACAGCAACAATCACAGAAGCGAACAAGCAAGTACAGAGGAGCGTCAAAGCGGATAAGCGAAAGTATATGGAATATCTAGCCACGACAGTAGAAAAGGCTGTGACAGAAGGAAATATGAAACAACAATATGATACAACAAAGAATCTTGCTGAAAAATATCGTAAAACAGAACGACCAGTAAAAGCAAGGAAGGTGAAGTATTGACCAACATTGAAGAACAGCAAGACAGTTGGGTACTTTGAGGAACTCTAGAGTCCACGAGCCCCAATCAACCCACCCAACATAGAAACAGCACCTACGGACCGCTCAATTAATATTGACCTACAAACAGTCGAAATAATCAACATGGATATCATGAATTTGAGGAGCGGCAGAACCAGACAGCATTCTAGCCGAGGCACTGAGAGCAGATGTAGTAGTAACTGAAAAAATATTTCACATTCTGTTCAGCAAGATTTAGGAAGAAAAACTATTGTCAGTAGACTAGGAAGAAGGATGCCTCATCAAGATACCAATCAGAAGAGTTCTCCGTAAGTATGACAACTACAGAGGCATCACTCTACTATGAATACCAGGAAAAGTCTTCGACGGAGTGTTGTTAAACCGAATGAAAGATTCAGTAGACGTTGAAGTTCGAGACCAGAAGGCTGGATTCTGTAATGATCGATCATGTATCTACCGCATAGTGAGCGACACTGGATCACTTCGGAACAATCAAGTGGGCGGAATTCACTCATGTACATCAACTTCCTTGACTGTTAGAAAGCATTCGACAGTGTTGACAGGATGACACTACGGAGTCTTATTTGACGCTATGATGTGTCTGAGAAGAAAGTCAACATCATACGGCATTCTTCCGATCGACTGAACTGGAAGATCGTGAATGGAGGGCAGCCCACCGACTCATTACAAGTGAAGGCTGATCTCAGACGGGGTTGATTAAACCCACCATTCTTCTTATTCACACGATGGTTGATTGGATTATGAAGACGTCAACATCTGGAGGGAAGCACGCCACAACAAATGCAAAAGAAGACGACCAGTGTAGCAGCAACCTTTGCAGTAGTATGTCTCAACATACACTAGAGAAAAAGCAGTTTCTTAAAATACAACATAAAGCGAGCCAACCAAATCACACTTGACAGAAAAGCTTTGGAGGATGTAAAAACCTTTAGATATCTGAGAAGCACCACTGATGAGCAAGCTGGATCTGATACTGATGTGAAGGCATAGATTGTCAAAACATTTTTGCAATTGAAGAATATCTGGGACTCAAAACACCGAAGTCACAATTTCCAATATAAATATCAAGACAGTTCTACTGTATGGTTTAGAAAGTTGGAGAACGATGAAAGCCATCACCAATAACTTACGGGTGTTTATGAACAGTTGGTAATATTGATTTTGTGTAACATCAATCGTTTGATTTCCTTAAATTTATTATTATATATTTAACTACTGTTTTCAAACTAAGTAGTTAAATATTATATATCGGCCTTACATTGTGGGCAGCGTAACAGTCAAAATTAATGAAAATCCAGAAAATCATTGCACAGTGTTTAACAATTTCTGAGACACACTGTAAATTCATCACTTTCACAATGATTACTCTAGTTGTCTCATTTCAAAGGATAATTACAGAGAGAATGTCAGACTGACAGGAGAGGGTTAGCAGGTGTGTCATTGTTTGTTTGTCAAAATTATACAAACCCAAATGATAATCTCATAATGCGTATTTAACAGTACAAAGAAATGATTGATGGGTTCTTTATTTCAAAAACGAACATGTGAATATTTTTCTTGAAAGACTATCGTTTAACTACCGCACAATAGAAAGAATAAATACTGGTTTTTGATTGACTATGATTGGTAAAAAATATATGCGTTTGCGTAGATGTTATTTTTATGGTACTCCAACAATGTTTTTACACTAATGAAAGCCTTTGATATCCAAAAAGCTTTTATAGCATTTGAATAATGTGAGTAACACCAGTTCAGTTGATTATCGCTATTGTTTCCTTATCTCCTTCAGGTAAATAATATCAATGTTACTACCATGTCACATGAAGCTGTTGTTTCACTTATTAGAGGTTCCAGTGATATTTTAGCTTTAAAAGTCATAACCATAGACCCTGATCAAATCAATACAACCCCCAAATTATCACAGCATTCAGTCAATAGTAAGTAATATTTGATTTTAAACATTTTTCGTTGAGTTGCAATAACCTAGATATATAAGTGCTTTAACAGTTGTTTGATGGATTGTTCAGTTAAACCAGGATTTGTTCATTTTTAATTTATCTATAAATCTATTCTCAATTGAGAAAACGCCTATAATGAAATTTCTCCCTATAGGTAACAGATTTTGTGAATCGTCAGACAATATTTACAATGCGAAAACGAAAAAATCCAATTATGAGGAAAACTTTTCAAACAAATTTTGTGACTCTGTCGAAAGCAAATGGTCTAGTAACACTGAAAATCTTTACAGAACTATTTGTAGAGATACATTTCATTCAAATCAGAATAATGTTTCCAGAAAATTAGATAATTCAACAAACAAAACATTGACAAACGATCATTTACAGTCTCTTCGACTGGATTCCAGTTCACCTGTATCCTCTATAGGATCACCTTCATGTAGAACATCAGCCACCCCACCACCATTGTCAAATAAACCAGTGCTAACAAGCAAGACTCTATCTAAAATTGGATTGCAAAATGGACTAAATAATGATAAAAAAGACGAATCTAACCTTACTCTCAGCTTAAAAGTAAGTATATTAAGCTAAAATTTCACATTTGCCACAATATTATTAGGTTTATTTTTCCGGATTATATGTATTTTCCTGCTTTCTGGCTTTGGCATGCTAAAACTGGTTTAGAAAAAAAATTATTGTTCGTCCAACTTTTTCACGTCATTAAATACCTAGGAACTAAGTATTTCACAAACTTGAATCGATGAAATACGAAGGAAAAGAATTGGCAGAATTTCTGTGTAAAACCCCATGAAAGCACACTCTATCGGCCAGAATTAAGTACTTCAAGTCCTTTCAGCAGAAACTTCAGGGAAACAGTCCTCTGCACTTCTACTACATATTACTAATAAGCTTTGTCGTGAGTAGTACACACTAAACCTGGACATTAAAAACTAATTGCAGAACATATAGAAATCTCAAATTGATTATTACCTCATTAACTTATTAGACGATAAAATTTGAATATTTTATGGTAAAAAACAACTGGCATAATAGATTCATCAGAAATTTTAATTATAAATGTGTTCGAATGTCAATTCAAATAAAACTGACGTCAAATAAGAACCCGATAGAAGCTAGAGATAACTTGGAAATTGATTCGTAGTTGTTTTCGACATCCGTTAACCATGACTAGTTTTATTATGTCCCGGGTCCTGATTTCGATTACCTTTAGAATGTTCATTTTTTATTAAAACCCTTGTCTATGTGATGATAATCTGTATACTAGCATTGGCTTCTTGTTGGTTTTCCGAAGTACAAAATAGTAAATACTGAAATTTTATGTGAACACTTTCAGCATTATGGCAATTGCCATCAAAACATAGAAGACGAAAACACGCTATATTAATAGCAGATATTTCGCAAATTGTTGTTGCTAGATACTAGCATAAAGAAGGCAGTTATCAATGCTTCATACCGGGAGATAAACCCAAGATTTTTTCTCAGCTGACAACCTTTGAAATGTTGTCGTCGTAACCTGAATTTGGATGTGTATTCAACATTGCTTTAAGTTTTCTTACTTTATAATTTAAGCTTGATTGGCAGACTCTGTTTTTAGTAAAGGGATTAATATCCAAAACCGTTAGAAGCTCTGAGCTTGTGTTTTAGTACAAATTAACCTGATACCGGAATTGATCTCTGTGGTACTGTAGTCTGTAAATAGCACTTAGAATTAAATCGTTTATCTTATCATTTTATGATTATGATATTATCTACCCTCTTCATTTTATAGCAGATATTTTATCCCTTCAACAACCTATAATATATTTGCCTTCTTTGCCTCTTAGTTCAAGCCAAGACATTCTGAAAAAATTTGCGATTCTGTAGGCGAACTTGGAACATCTTTGTCAGCTAATCATCCACCTCCTGCAAATTCACCAACTGCATCATCCAGTAGCTCAAATATAATCCCATCTCCACCGCCACTTATGATAACACCAAACAAAACATCTCCCTATACAAAACCTGAAACACCTTCTGGGATTCTGAAAAAGACTTTACATGATAAGTTGTCAGAAAATACTAAACATTCCAAAAACCAAGAAAATGGTTGGAAACAGAATGTTTGGTCAGATCAACTCTTACTTCCACCACCTCCACCTCCAGAGGAGTTTGAATTAGATGTTGTTACTATCCCGAAGGTTTACCACTCCAATCCCAAACAGAATTCTACCAATTATAACAATAATAATGAAGCAGTTTACAAAACCTCTCCTTCACCACGAATTAATACGCAATCATCTTTTGAAGACAATCTCAGAAGAGCAGTGGCTGAACGTCGTCGTCTAATCGAAATGGCTTCTGAAGAGGATGACTATGATTTGGAATCAGTACGCAATAAAAGCACTCATAGTGTAACATCTACTGAGAATAGCACCAAACCTTTAAATCAACGAGTAGAAATTGTTTCATCAAATGGAACGTCATTTAATTCAGCTGCAGACAATTCGCGCTCGCGAACATTACCTGGTAGTTTGCCAACAAACAATACTATTCCTCCACCTGAAAATTTCAAAGATTTTGATAATACTACGAATAAAGTTCACTGTAATACAATGATAAACAATCATGAAAACGTTCAAATAAAAATCAAGCCAAAGCTTCCATTATTACAATCATCTTTCACTAAAGATACAAACAAAACTCAAGGTTCACCAAAGATTGAACAAAGTAAATTTAATTCGGTGACCAATAACACAAACAATATCATTTATAACAGCTTACATGAAAACGATGTGTTAAGGGATATCTCGTCATTTAAACAGAATGGTATAACGGATTCAAGAAAACATATTGGAAAATCTCCTGGTTATCCTGGACCTACATCACCTTTTTCTATTTCTGATGTTCCTAAAATAATGTGGTCTTCTAAATAGAATAACCTGAGGAAATTTCAATCATCTATGTACGGACTAAATTTCTTTTCTACTATTACACTGTTGATTAAATAGATTGGTAATACAAGTTCAGATTCTTATTATCGTACAAAAAAAAAACTAAATAATTTTCAGAAAGTCTATTTCTCATTTTTTTTTAAACGTATGATGAAAGAATTAACATGTCAAGTTGTAGGAAGAACAACAACCCTAATGTTTACTTGTCAAAAAAAACGAAATTGACACAAATATCCAGTTGTTTAGTTTACATAAAGTAATATTGCTTACTATATCTACCTTGTTCATTCAGATAGGCCTGTTCACTTTGTTCCTTAATTGTTTGAGCGTTTATTTCTAATGTAACAACTTTTTATCTTCGAAATTATATACAACTATGAAATTTTTTTTTACCATACAATATAAGTACCATTTACTATGGAGAATAAATAATAAAACAAACTCGGCAATTAAAAAAAAAGCATCACTTAATAATAGGCTTTTCATCCTATAACTCTCACTTATTTTTAATTAGCATACTTTTGTCCATGCAAGTGATTATTTATTGCGATCATTATAACGTTAAATACATTTATTCACGTTGTATTGATCTCCAGACGCAATGTGTGTAATATCAAATTAACGGGGGTTTTTTTTTATTCATTGATAATAATGAAATAATTGCTTATCTGTCTACCTATCAAAAGAATGTAATTTTTAATTAAAAAAAAATAAACAACAATTAAAGCATCAAATTATTTTGTTATTTCCAGACAATTTGTTTACTTTTCGTATTATTAAACTTTATTTCAACTGACAGACATGTGACACAATGATGGCATAGAACCAGTCTGCTAAGTGATTGATATTTCCTTGGGCATTCGAAATCTTCGTTGACTTTCTTATAAGGTTGGTCTATGGAATCGTGATTACTACTTGTTGTTCTGTTCATATGAGTTATTAGATTACGCACAAAGCTAACAAGTTCATTGACAAAAGATTGATGTGTGTGATAACATTTGTTGACCATTCAAAGTTGTCGGTGTAATAAAGTCGAAAAATATTCACAGAATTCGAATGATATCACTGCAGTGCATATGATTGTTTTTACATTTTATATCCTTTGTATCAAAATCTTATCCGAAAACATGTAAGTAACCTAATTCCACTGACTGTTACTATAAATACACTGCCTTTTATTTTCGGAATACAATAAAAAATGGAGTGAACACAAGTTTTAAGCACTCATTTGACCGATACAATCGATAACATTCATGTGGTCGATTGTCGTTCAGTTTATTTACACTTGATCCACTACAAATTCTGATGATAGCTTAGCGATATACAAGTATATACCTACGAATGCATATTAAAGTAGACGATTAATAAAAAAATGCCTGTTATGTTGAAAAGCAAAAACCTAATCAGGTTCTGCTTGAGGGATCAATCAAACGAAGGCTATTGATTTCGCTTGTAAATCAGTTACACTCTTACCGAAAATCCAATTGTATTATATCGAAAGTTTAACTTTCATGTCAACTGCTATCTTTCAGAAGAAATGATTTACATTCATATCTTGTGCAACGGAAAAATCACCAACCTATTTGAAAATGTTCGTGGTAAAGAATCCGAAATAAACCTTTCCATAAAATAGAGCTTTACTATTTCCCTGAATGATACATCATACATTCTGCAGTAAACAGATGAGATTTTATCTGAAATTTTTGAACAATAATAATAATGGTTATGATTATTCGGTCAAAGAAATATTAATCCAGAAGTTATTCGTTTTGTAGATATCAACCTTGATGAGTCTGTAAGTCATAAAATCCAGAAAGATTTTTCAAGTTTGTCGCAATATGATATTCAGCGCCTTTAAAAAGTTTCTATAAGTTTTTGGCAAAGAGTATGTCATGGCAGTTTTTAATGTCATTTGAAGAGTTCAAAGTGTAACTGTTTCATTTCGAAATTCAAAACAGTGACAGACAAATTATCGTAGAACAAAATTTCACCAGATGAAAATTGAAAAATTTTAAATGTATTCCAGATGGGCAACAACAAATATCATTAGTCATACAGTATTGTTTTGTTTATATACATGCCACGTAGTTTAAAAAATATTCATTATCTTTTCATATAAAAGATTAAGTAAAAAAAATACAATGGTCGTTTGATAATATTTGTTCTGGAATACTTCAGTGGGGTTGGCTAAGAACCTGGATGTAGATTATTCTTCAAATAAAATGATATGATTATCGATAAAAGTAGCAACAGTGACTAATCAAATTCCGAAACAAAATGAAGGGATTAAAGCTAAACATACAAAATGTGTAAGCAGACCTCAGTTAGCGAAGGATATTCATAGTATATATATATATATACGTATATATATATATTTATATATATATATATAACCGCTTCATGAATTAGCTATCAGTATTCATATTCGGAACGTTGACAAAGAACACAAAATACTAAAATATCACATTTACAAGAAGGTTGAATAAATGTTGAAAAAATCACTAAGAAGTGCCGTTAGTATAAAATTGACGGAAATCAATATGGGTTACTGAAGTTGTTAAGTAGTAGTATAATATGATTTGCCGAATTAATCAACTAGGAAAGATATTAGCATCTGAGTTACTAACACGTAATCTGTACAGGGACAAATTATTTCTTCAGTTAGCGTAAAACATTACTGACAGATTAACTAGCTTTTCCTCCACTTACTGTCATCTCTAATTTCTAGAATATCTAGCGATAAGCTAGAAAACATGGAATACGTATAAGTCGAATTATTATTGTCAGTTTTAATTTCAGTCTTATACTGTCAGAAAGCAATGTACATTAGCCAGTATCACAACCTACACAATCATCTCATCTCAATGTCTATCTTATCACTTAGGACAAACAAAGCAATTCATTACAAATTATAATTTAGAATATGAAATAGTTTTCAATTAGATATTCTTTAGGCATTACTCAAGCATACAATAATATTCAGTAGATTAGTTCGAATCCTAGATCCTCTGCAAAAATTAATCGTCTGAAGAAGCGTTGAAGACGGTTTTGATTTCATTTTTATGATGGAACATATGGATTTATATGGGAAATATGATATTTCTAGATGATGCTTCAGTATTTACCAATGTACTTTTAATGTGGACATTCGACATTGTGAGGCAACAACTTTCAGAGACAACTCAATATTGGGATTTCCGAGGACATTTTGAAAGAATTACTTTTGAAATGCACAATTAACGTTGGATTTGTTTTCGATAACATATAGACAAGTTAATGGAATAGCGATGGATTCTGTCCTTGCCGATTTCTTTCTAATAAAAACAGAGAGTGGATCTCTCAAGGAGGTTATCGATATCTCAAATTTTATTGTCGATACTTATATTATACTTTCATTTTTATTGAATCAAGACCTTATTTAAGGAGAGCTCTTGGAGCAATTCAAAAATATACACTCAGCAACTAGATTTGTGTGAGAAGGAACTCGATAACAAACTACATTTTGACATTTTTGTCAATAGAAAAGATATTGGTCATATCAGAAAGTTTAGAACTCATTTTTCATCGGCTTTGCAACCAACCACTGCAAGCGAAACCTGGTTAGATATCTAGCAAGTGCGGCTAGGTAGATGTGGTCAGACGATGCCTTAAACAAAGAGCTGGAGCTCAGTCTTAATATGTTGATTGACATAGGTTATCCACATGGTTTTCTGAAGAAGTACCTACATACAATGAAAAGGAAGATAGAGATATTAACAGTGAAAAATAAACCTCTCTTTCTGACAGTACTATTTAATGGAGATATAGCTAGTTATGTATTCCTAGATATACGTGGATGTGGCGAAACCAAATTATGTGTCCTTCAATCGAGGAATCGTCACAGGTCAGCTAGAAAAACGACAGACATGTTGTCTGCATTAAACGTCCCCTTTGTTGCTCAATCAGTCTATCTACTAAGCCAGCTGTTCCTGTGCAGAAAACTATATTGGGTATACAACCAGATAACTAACCTGACGAGCTAGGGAGCTCCACTCCTCATGGTTAGGAATAGGCGTAATCAAAACAATCCTCAGCTCAGTTCTGATTGAGTGCGGTCATATAGTAGATAGAAATAAATCATTTAAAATAATTTGTTATATACTTCCTTTTCTAAATGGGGTTCGATCCTGTCTCTTACACAACAGAAGCTATGGAGATTCGAGCTAACAATCCAAGTCTTTGTGTCCAGAAGAAGTTTGTCAGGCCTCTTTCTCTTCCTTGGCAGAATTTACCAATATTTATTGTTTTCTATACTCCTTGCCTGTTCGCTTATTTTTCTATAACCCCCACTCTTTATTTTCTTTGTATATACGCCTCGCTATCCAATTAGTTGAATACTTCTTTTTACTTAATCTATAATTCTATTAACTGTTGACCTAAGGTCTAGTTTCTCAGGCCGTTTGACCTACTACGTTCTTATCTAATATTGATTGAAACCTTTATTAATCTTCTCATAACCAGAACACTTGACATCACATGATCAATTTGTACTTTTTAATCCACTGTTATCACTGACTCATAAATTGTCTTAATTAGTTTACTAGTTTCATATACAAATATTACTGTCAATAAGAGTAACGCCGGAAGAAGATTTAATTGTAAACAAAATATGTTGCTCTGATTCCCAATACGGGAGTTTTCGATAAATTTTAATTTCAATCACTACTAAAAAAACCCACATTATCTTTGTATATGAAACATAACTTACAAATATTTTGCTATTTTCAAAACT